TCCTGAAGCACCCCATTCCCCTCCACTGGATCACCTGTATCTGCCTACAAAAGTGTTCTAATGTCTCCTCTCTCTCTCTCTCTCTCTCTCTCTCTCTCTCTCTCTCTCTCTCTCTCTCTCTCCAACCATTGGGCAGAGAGATAGTACAACTGGTAGGGCACATTTGCTTTGCACCTGACCAAGCTGCATTCTATGCCCATATGGCCCCCAAGCCCCACTGGAGTGATCTCTGAACAGAGAGCCAGGACAAAGCCCTGAACACCACTGGTATACCTCTCCCCCAAAAACAAACCAAAAAAGCCACCCTACCAACAATAAAATAATAAAACCAATAATAAAACTTTACCATTGCTTCATCTCCTATCCACTGTACTGTTTCCTCCCTTCATCTTTGTAGTCTCAACCTCCATTTTCATACATTGGAGACAGCACCACCAACCTCCAAGCCTATCAGTGATGGCCTCTCTGTGATTATCTCCTCCTAACTCACACCATTTCTATCCAGCCGTCCTGTCCTCTTGGTCTTGTTTCCACACCTCCCCTTATCTTGCGCAGCTTCTCTCTCTCTCTCTCTCTCTCTCTCTCTCTCTCTCTCTCTCTCTCTCTCTCTCTCTCTCTCTCCCCACACACACACACACACACACTTCCCTGTCCCTGTCCCTCTACAGGATAGGGCCAGTTCCCTGCAGCTGCTCCTTTTGTCCCCTGTCACTTAACCCTTGACCCTTTGTAATCTTACCCACACAGTTCTTTACACTCAATTGCTTCTTCGTGGGTATTTTCAGCTTCCTCTCCTGAGAACTCCAGATCCACAGGCCAATTCTCCCTATTTGGGTGGTTAATTGAGTTCTTCACAATTCAAATTGAACTCAAGGGCCTAGGGATGGCTCTTCAGTAGAGCACTTGCATGAGTTAAACAATTCATGACACCAGCTCAACCTGCCAGAGTGTGATCCCAGCAGCTCTGCTGTTTGGGATCTATAGCACCCAGCAAAGTGTGATCGCCAACATTCTGTTCTGCAGGCAATCATGTGTGAACTGAAAGCTGGAGTGGACTACCTTTGTGATCCAAGGATCTACAACAACAAAAAATAAAAGGAAATATTTTTATTTTAAGGCAATATTTTTATCCTCAATCTATTCCTCACTCACTCTTGCTCATGAAACACAAAACAACACATTGCTCAGCTAGTTTATAGAAGTTTCCTTGTTTTCTCTTTTATCATCTCTGTCACTCCATCAGCAAATCCTGGAACTGCTCTTTACCTAGACTCCATCCCTAGTCCAGTTACCATCTCCCCTACCTTGAGAAATCTTCATAGCTTCTAGTTGACCTCCTACTCTCCATATCTCCATCTCTTATCCCTACCCCTTCCCATTTTCCACGAAGAATAATCCCTTAAACCAGCATTCTTCAACCGTTTTACATCTGCAGACCAACATCTGTCCTACATATCGGTTCACAGACCAGTAATTAGAACCAAGGTGGTGGATGACTGGTTTTTCAATCCTTTCACACACATGAACTGTTACCCTTCCATGGGATAGTAGTTGAAGACCACTATCTAAAACTCTAATTGGATCATGTCGCTTTTTACCTTAACCCTTATCCAATTTCCATGTCAAATAGAAAAACATTCCAACATCTTGCCACAGCCCTGTGGGTACTGCAGTCTCCCTCTCAGTGTCCCTCCAGCCTGTGGAAGGGCACCAACTCTACCTGTCTTGTCTTGTGGACATTTCCAGGGCCTGGCTCTGCAGACACATGTCAACTATTTGTGAATCAATAAAATGATGAGGTAGTGGGACAAGCTTCCAATTCTCAACTACCAGAACTGTGCCTCAGAATCCTGACTTAAGAAACCCACAGTCATACCAGCTGCTGTTCTAGGTTTGCTGTGAGAACTAATATGGGGAGAAATGTCTAGTTCTAAAAATCCACCCAATTGTTCTTTAATTGGGTATGTGCGCCAGTGTGAATCTTGTGGTGACACTTGAGGGCTCCTCCTCATTTTATTCTTTGTGTGCCATGACATCGGAGTTTTGACTCCTCAAGCAAACACTCCATTTATGCCTCCCAGGGCTGTTTCAGTGTGTGATTATCAAGGCACAGTGAGGGAAGCTGTGTGAGGAGAAAGGGGGAGCAGCGCGGGGGAGGAGAGACTATTCCGCAGCTAAACTACAGTGTTTGGGTAGGACTAGCGCACTGACCAGGAGTCAGGAGGTTCAGCAAAGTCCTACAAATGGAACCCCCCCTCCCACCACAGCAGGCAGTGGGCACTCCATCCGGCACAGGGCGCACAGGACAGGCTCTGAGGTAGCCTCAAGTGGATTCCAGAGTCTGCACACTGAGGGGATTTCTGCCTTTGGTGATTTTCTTTCTGGTGAGAATGTGCTTTTCGTTTGTGTCACACTTCTCACACATGCTTTGGTCTGTACTTGCGGCACAGTAAAAGGACTAGCACAGAGGGATTCCTGCCAGTACTGGATTCACATCCAGTCAGCGCCTCCTCATTTTTTCTCCACTGCCTCCCCTCCATTGCCTGTAACTTGTTTTCACCTCTGTAATATTACATGTGTGCCTCTAAAACAGGGGTGGGAAGGCTTATAACGCCACAATGACATCTTTAGACCCAACACATTTGACAGTACAAACACTCCTTATATTACTTCTAAGGCACTTAAACTAGCAAGTTACTAACATTACTGTTCAAAGCCACCAAGTTTTGGGGTGATGAGTTATGCAGCAGCAGACTGTGAATAAAGTCGGGAGTACTTTCCTCCTTGTGTATGCTGTGTGTTTAGATATATGTTTGTTTGTTTGTTTGTTTGGGTGTCATACTTGACAGTGTTTAGGTGCTCCTCCTGGCTCTGTGTTTGGGGGTCCCCAGTGGCCACACAGTGCTGGAGAGCAAACCTAAGTCTTCTGAATGCAAAGCATGTTTACCATGTGCTCAGACCATTGAACTATCTCTCTGGCTTGTGTTTTATATCTAAATGCTACTTCTTCAGCTATGACTTCCCCTCCTCCCCCATAACTGTGCACACCTGTAAGTCTTGACTTATACTCTCAAATGGCATCCTCGTCTCCTGCACAGCACTTGTCACCTCCACAAATAATTGATCACCTGAGTAATTTAATTCTACAAGTAATACTTGTAGAATTAAAGGCATGAATAAGCAAATGCATTGATAATTGAAGTACCTAAGCCTCACAATTCAGAAAGGAGGCAGGGAAAAGCCCAGTGCCCTAGATAGTTACACAAGTCTCACAGCTTCAGATTTTGGCATTTTATAAAATACAAATAAATAAATAAAATAAGGTAAGAAGCTTATCAATACCTTCTAATGTGTTATTGGAGTATACGATCACCAAATTTTCTATATGAAAGTGAAACAAGGGTTAGTTCATAAAGTAGTACTTTGCTAAAACTTGGCAGATTTTTTTTCTCTCCCTTTTGGTTATAGAGCCCCACCTATCATGCTACGGAGTCACTCCCAGCTCAGTGCTCAGTGATTGCTCCTGGCAGTGCTCAAATTCCCAAGTGCAAAGGATGCATTGAGCCCATTGAACTCTCTCCAGCTTCCAATTTTGCAGCCTTAATAAGGCTTACAACAAGAGTTGACCTGAACAATAAAGATGAATGTATGTTTAACAGAAGCTGCTTTATTAGCAGACTGAAGCAAATGTTCCTCTTCTCTTGGCATTAAATTTGGAAAAGGCCCCCAATTTTGTTTGCAAAATGAATGAATTTTTTACTAAACACTAAAAAAGGGGGTTTTTAATTTGAGGATAAATCCATTGGCCACAGAAAGGTAAATTCAGTCCAGTTATTTTAATTGGTTAAACACCTTTTAGGACTTTATAAATGGTAAGATTATAAAATCAGCAGCCCTGTGCTCCAGCTAATGAACCTGTTTCAGTAGCAGTTCCTCATCCTCACTGCTACAAGTAACATTCAACTCCTTCCCTAGAAGTCTCTGCGAGCAACTTCCTCAGGCCCCTATTTTACTGTTTCCCATCACAGATGCCTGCTTGTGCCAGTCCTTGGTCACTGGACTCACTTCTCCATCTCTCTTTGTCCTGCTCTTCCTTTGATTGATTATAAGGTCCCCTTTAGTGCCATCCCATCCCTGAAAAGTTCAAGTCAGATGCGAATGCTCCTCTCTCTCTCTCTCTCTCTCTCTCTCTCTCTCTCTCTCTCTCTCTCTCTCTCTCATACACACACACACACACACACACACACTCACAGACACACACTCCCTGGAACTGAATGCTCCATTTCCCATTCTTGTGGGACACTTGGTGTTTCCCTCTCTCACGGCTGCTAACTTGTCCCAGCTGCATTACAAATTCTACTTCTCTTCTCTACCCAGACAGGTAGGACACAGTCTCCACTTCAATGGGATTCTTTTCCCTGTGTGACCAAGCAGAGATGTTTAGATGACGTATTTACCATAAGGTAAACACATGGAAGAATGAATGAAACATATGCTAAAAGGCTTTTACATAAGTCAGGCAAACCTTTAATTCCAATACTAACAGTGCTATAGCCATCACATTTTCATGCTTAAAACAATTTAGTTTCTCTTTTTATGGTGGGGCAGCCACACTCAGTAATGCCCCTATCCTGGGTGGGGACGGTGTCAGGAAACCATATGGGGAGCTGGGGATGGAACCTGGGTCAGCCACATATAAGGCAAGCTCCCTACCTGCTGTACTATCATTAACTTCCCTTTTAATCAAAGTTTCAAATGTACTAAAAACACTCTCCACAGAAAGCAAAAGCAAACAGAAACGAATAAAATGCATATACTGACTCAATATCTTACTACAGTACTCTAGCCACACAAAATTTAAGGGAGTAAATCAGTTCCAAATCTAACTGTTCAATATAAAAAAAATAAGCTTTCAAAAGTTTTTTTGAGTTATTTAATGTGAGCAATTTCAAAAGGTTAATAATAGCAAACATCAGTCCTATATAAAGTGATTAAGTAATGGTAGTTTACTTCAAATCCAGGGACTGAACTGCAGCAATGTAGAGTACCAGATTATCTAGGGAATGAAGCTTGGGGGCGCAGTGTTTTCATGACTAGGTCCAGTGTATCCTGAACCTCTAGGTTGTTTCTCTCTATCAAGTAATAATTTTTCCCAGCTGGTTTTATCTTCTCTTCAGGCTCAAGAGGTAGAAGGGTGTGGGGATTGAACAGTCTCCGGGGCTCTCCCAAGATGCCAACTCTGAAAACAAAAATGGTATAGTTGAAGCAGTTATGCCAAGGACAAAGTTGTACGGTTCTGGCTGTAGTTGTGTTTGACTATGTATATCAGAGCTAAGACTCTCTCTCTCTCTCTCTCTCTCTCTCTCTCTCTCTCTCTCTCTCCCCCCCCTTCCTGCACACGCACACGCGCACACACACACACACACACACACACACTTTCTTGATGCTTTTCTTATAACCACAAACCACCAGCCTGGACTTAAATGTAGATTTAAAATCTGAGTGAGTCCATGGCAAAGTTCTTTACTTGCCCTTCACATGCTTCCCAAAGATAACTTTAATGGAGGTGGGGGTGGGGGGAACTCAGCTTGACAGAATCTACTGCTCACTCCTGCATTCTAGAATATTTGAATTCCTGAATAACTTTCTTGCAATGTTTTTGAGTCTAGATGAGTATAGCAAATGCAGTTCTGAATGGAAGGTGGTGGCAGAAGAGCAGACACTCAGCGGAAGCAGTGTTTGCTTTGGCTGTTTCCCAGCAGAAACAGGTACCCAAGGCCCTGTCCCTCCCTCATGGCTCTAGGGTCTCCTCTCCCTTTCCTCAGGCTACTCACATTGGCATGGGCACAGAATTTAGGTTATTCACACGCTTCCACCAGGCTTTTTTGTGTCCTGTGGTTAAATGGTAATTCTTCTCAACATTCTGAGCTTTCTGTCGGAGGGATGGCAGCAGTGTAGACATGACTGGAGAACGCAGATCAGTGGCTTTCTTAATTGCTGGTCGTTTTGTCATCATTCTCCTGTGGGACAAAAGTGTGTATGTGTGTGTGGGGGGGGGGAGGGTGATTTGTAGGTCACATCAATCTATTTCCTAGAAAGATCCTTGAGCCAAGGAAAGTAAAAAATCAGACCTGAACTCTACAAAAGTCATGCGTTTCTTCTGCCCTCCTGATTCTTCATCCTCACGTTTCCTTCGGGGAATGTTGAACATATCAGTACGAAATAGCCTCCCAATTTCTTCTTCAATCTCTGTGAGGTTTTGACGTCGGAAGACAATCCAAGCAACATATGTACAGAAAGTAAAAAAGGCCTATGACAGAAAACAGGTAAAAATCCAGAACCAACCGCAATGTTGATAAACTTTTTTTTTTTTTTTTTTGCTTTTTGGGTCACACCCGGCAATGTACAGGTGTTACTCCTGGCTCTGCACTCAGGAACTACTCCTGGCAGTGCTCAGGGGACCATATGGCATGCTGGGAATCAAACCTGGGTCGGTCGCATGCAAGGCAAACGCCCTACCCGCTGTGCTATCGCTCCAGCCCCAATGATAATAAATTTTTATCCATGTGTATATCACTGCTGAAAAGAAGTGAACCCAGACAACCCATATTTCAACATGCCTGAGAAACTGTATATATAGTATAGATGGACTCACCTTTGCAGAAAGAAAACAGACCAAAAGTGCAAGGTGTGCTATAGAACTGCAATTTTCCTTTCTACAAAGAATATCCTATATTTATTAAAAACACATGGTTGGGAACTGGAGTAATAGTACAGCAGGTAGGACATTTGCCTTGCACACAGCCAACCCAGCTTCAATCCCCAGCAATCCCGTATGATCCCCTGAGCACCACCAGGAGTAATTCTTGAATGCAGAGCCAGAAGTAACCCCTTAGTACCGCTGGGTGTGACCAAAAACAAGCCAAAATTTTTAAAATAAAAAATAAAAAAATTAAAACATACAGCTGAAAAAGATTTAAGTTACTGTTGCGCTTCATGTTTCAAAGGAAAAAAAAACCCAAAATATAAGTGACTCACCTCAAAGAATTTCCAGTCTTTTTGTGTATCTGATACTTTCTCTCTGCAATATAATAAATCACAAGTATAAGTTGAGAGGGTAATTCATTTTGCAGTGATCTGTAAAAATTTGCCAATTTTTAAGATTACCAAACCCTAACTTTTGAAAGACTCCTTTGTAATCTTGTCTTAAAGCCAGTTTTCTCCCTTGAACATGTTCTTTTGTTTGCATGTTTTGTCCTCTGGAGAAGTCTGTATTCTCTCACAAACATGTGCTTCTCCCTCTCTCTCCCCTCACTTCTTTCCAAGTAAGTTTCAATAAAAAGTGTGTGATTTTAACTTCATAATAAAGAAGTCAGTGAAGAAATATGTTCTTCTGAATATTTCTGGTTCTGTGAGTGTTGTGGAAGTGAGAACAGTGGAAAGGTGATAAAAAATAGCACGGAAGTTAGTATGGAAGTAAGTATAGAGTGAAAAATTAAACAGAAGTTTAAAATGAAAAAAATATGATTTTTATTTGGTTTTGTTTGTTTTGACTTGGGGGCCACACCCAGCAGTACTCAGGGCTTACTCCCAATTCTGTACTTGGGGATCACTCTTGGAGGGTTCAAGGGACCATCTGTGGTTCCAGGGATTGAATCCAGGTTGATTGTGTGCAAGGCAAGCCCCCTACCCATGCTCTCTGACTCCCCTGCCCCCAATTTTTAAACAATGGTTATGGTCACTGACAACAAAATAAAATGGAGACAAAATGAACATAGGTCTATTCCATACATTAGACATTTCAACATGGACCTGCCAAGGGCTGAGAACCAGATGGGATGTGAAAGTGTCTGTCAAGATGGTGAGTGAAGCCACTGCATATTCAACCCTGGAAGGCAGGTTTCTAAAAGAAAATCTGGGAGTAAAACCCAAAGATTTCCTGTTACGATGTTTTCATATTGCCTCTTACCATATACTAAGTGACTCAGGCCGGAGAGATAGAATAGGAATTAAGGAACTTGTCATGCAGAGTTGGTTTGATCTCTGGAACCATAAATGGTTTCCTGAGTACAGCCTTGAATGACCTCTGAATCCCATTAGGTGTGGTTCCAAACCCCACTCCCCACTGCCCCCCAAGAAAAAAAGACTATACTAAACTTTTAGCTACAAATCAAGGAAACTGGGCCTGGAGCGATAGCACAGTGGGTAGGGCGTTTGCCTTGCACATGGTTGACCCGGGTTCGATTCCCAGCATCCTGTGTGATCCTCAAGCACTGCCAGGAGTAATTCCTAAGCGCATGAGCCAGGAGTAACCCCTGTGCATCGCCGAGTGTGACCCCAAAACAAACAAACAAACAAAAATCAAGGAAACCAAAGCAAGGAAAGTCTACAGCTTTAGTCTATAAACTTTAAAGTCTAATTTATTCATTAAAGGGTACAGAGCTTAGGGCTAACCCCTAGGGTTCTGAACTATTGAAAAAATCACATTACAAGGGCCAGGAGGTAGTTTAAGTGATAGAGTACATGTCCTACATATGTGAAGCCCATGGATGTGTGTAATATTTTTACAAATATGTGTGTATATCTATACATTAGCTATATAAACAAGTGATTTTCTAATGAAATCCTTAGTGATCACTTACTTGCCACAGTTCATGTGATGTTTATCAGGCATGCCCAAGCCAAGAACAAGGGAACAGTACCTCTGTGCCAAGTATACCTGGGCTGCTTCTAACTTACTTATAACCATTTCCATCTCTTTCTTCTCCACCAGACCCCTAGGAAAGAATATGATCATTTGAATTAATTTTGGTCAATGTCTATATTAATTGGGGAACTTAAGGCTTTTTTACTTATAATTTTAAGAGGACAATTTCCCTTATCCTCTTATTGTTTTATCCAAGTTTTGACAGAGGAAAGCCTTAAAGTCCCCTGATTACCAAACTAGTGTACACAAGTCAGATTGTCCAAGTGACTATTACCTTTTTTTTTTACATTTTCTATACATGATTCTATGTATGCTCAGTGCTATATATAGGCAGTCCTAATTTATACAGTATAACTTAACTAACCAATTACCTGGTTTCTGAGGCAGTTGACAGCCCATTTTCCCTGCTGTTTTGCTAAAACAACCACGGAGACTTTTAACCCACCTCAGTTTCCCCTGAGTTCTTCATGTAGTACTAAGTCTGGGGGCTCAGAGTTACTACTCAGTGTTTGTTTGCTCTTCGTTCTGTTTGCTAAGAAGATATCTGTGGATGACTACCCTGGGAAACTTGGCATGAGTTATGATAGTCCTGCTTCCTTGTAAAAACATGGCCCTAGCACCAATTGAATTGCAAATGAACTCTCTAAAAGGCAACCTGTTCTTAGGTTACAGCATGTCAGAAATCTAATTTTAGGCAAGCTGACAGTCCAATGTATTAGTATTAAAAAATGAAATATCGCTGTTTTTTTCCCCTCCAGCCTAATGATTTAAAAAAAATTAGGGGCTTGAGTGATAGAATAGTGGGTAGGGCACTTGCCTTGCACACAGCAGACCCAGGTTCAATCACCAGCACCACCTATGGTCCCCCAAAACCACCAGGAGTAGTCCCTCTACACAGAGGCAGGAATAAGCCCTGAGTACAGCTGGGAATGACCCCAAAACAAAACAAAACAAATTTAAGCAAGTGAAATACACTCTAAGCATAAAGGACAAATGACTGCCCCTGCTAATATTGGTGACAGACTGATGACAACGATAGGAGGTGGGTTAAAGGATATATATTTCAGAGCAGAAAGCACTACATGTGCTGATAATGCCTGTGAGTCACTGAAATAAAATGAGTTTATGGAATAGAGTAAGTAAGCTTCTTCAGCTTTAAACGCCCAAATTTTAAAGAATCCAAACACATCCTCACAAGTGTCCCAGAGACCAGTATGGGCCTGTATCCCTATTTCTATCAGCGGTCCCCATGCTCACCCCTCTTTCATTCTTTGCCAGGGTTGCCATTATCCCAAATTCTCTTCATGCTACTGAAAATCAGAGAATGCAATCAAGAAACACCTAGAAAGTCTTACTTAGGCTAATGGCTCACAATTTGGGGATGCAGTGGGGCAGAGACCATACTCAGTTGTAACATTGATAGGCTCACTTGGGGGATTTGTTCAAAGCACAGATCCCAATGCCAACCCCTTCCAAGATTCTGGTTCAGTAGGTCTGGGAAGAGCGTAGTACTTAAAACAAGCCCAGGAATAGTCTTCTGGGAGAAATTTGATAATAATGTCAAGGATCACATTATTAATTTAAGCACTGTGATTTACAAGGTCATAAAATTGATCATGAACTTTTATATACAGGGAAAATCTACTGCATCTTGAAAATATTCAATGCAATTATTATCAGACAAACTGTAAATTTCAAAAATATTCTAAATAAAGGGAAAAAAGAAGTTGTAATACAGGCTTCAGTAATAACAGCCAGGAACTGTTTTAAGTTTTGACTTTTATTAACTTAGCATATGTCTGTTGTAGCATTTAAGTCAGGCACCAAGGTCCTAACCACATACTGTTTCTTAATGGGGAAAGTCAATAAATTAATATTGGCTTGACAGAAAGTTCTGCCACTAAATAATGAAGACTGTAGTAACTTGGAAAATACATATGGTATTTAAAACTGCTTACCATACCTAGCAGTAGCTCAGAGGATACTCCCAAGCTCAGTGCTCGGTTGTTCCTCCAGCACTACTCAGGGAATCATGCAGTGCTGCAGGATCAGATCTATACCTCCTACATAAAAATTGTGTCTTTGCTCATAAGCTATATAAATCTTAACCCTAAATGGGTGAAGTTTGGAAAAGAGAACTTTTTTAAAAGTTTTATGATTTATTATTATTATTTTGGTGGGGGGCACCACAGCAGTGGTCCATTCCATTACCAGCTACATAATACCCTGTCAACTAGTGAATCTCTCTGATCTATAGCTCCTTCATCTGTAAAAGGAGGTTCATAATTGTTCTTCTGAAATTAGGATTATTGTGGGGGATTTGTTGTTGTTGCTGTTGCTATTTTTGTTTTGGGGTCACTCTTGAGTTTGGGGGATCATTCGGTGCCAGGAATCAAACCTAGACCTCCTACATGCAAAGCATGGACACTGACCTACTGAGTTAGCTTTCTGGTTTAGGATTTTTTGTTTGTTTGGGGGGCACACCCAATGATACTCAGGGGTTACTCCTGGCTTTGCTCTCAGAAATTATTCTTGGCAGTGCTCAGGGGACCATATAGGATGCCTGAATCAAACCCAGGTTGGCAACAAGCAAGGCAAATCCCCTACCCATTGTACTGTGGTTCCTGCCCCAAATGAGGATGTTTTTAAATTATTTTATTGTATCCCCTGAGTATCGCTGGATATGATGAATTCTTACCTTTTGCTATGACTTGAATAGAAATAGAAGGTATTATGTTAAGGAAAGTGTCAGAGGAAGAAGTAGAAATACTGGGTGCTCTCACTCATAAGTGATATTTAAAGAAATAATGCAAGGAAATGGATGATATCTAATAACAAGTCCTTGAACCTTGAATACAGAACTGGGCCCCCAAGGGAAAGTTAGGGAGGAAGAGGTGAACTAGAAATTAAATCAAGACAGTAGTGTCGGGCATTCTGGTGATGTTGGGAGGGGCAATAGTTATGCTCAGCATAAACATAAGTGTAAACAGCATAATCCAACTATTTCAATTACAATTCAAACAAAAATATCACATTTCTCTGCTGTATTAGCATGAACTCTCAGAATTAGGAGAGCAAACAGCCTACAAAATATAAGCTGGGAGCCAGGAGGAAACATGGTCCAGTGGAAAATTCATTCCTTGCATACTGAAGACCTGCATTCAATTCCTGGTGCTGCAAACCAAATATATATATATATATATATATATATATATATATATATATATATATACACGTATATATATATATATATATATTCAAAAGTCTGGTTTTCTTCTTGGGAAAGAAGAAAAGAAGTAAGACTCCTCAAGCCTTCTGAGCCCACAGATGTCTTTGAGCCTTCTCACTTGCTGCCATAGAAACGCTTCATGGTCTCTGGCTGCCCGCTGTGAAATGCAGCCTTGAAATAACATGGATGTCGCAGATGATGATGGCTTTCCCAAAGCAGTGGGATTTGATTTATTTTTTTTGTACTTTATAAAACTGCTATCCAGGCGCATTTATCTATCCATAAAATTTTGTATTAAGTATCATGTATTTTGGAAACAGTTTTTAAAAAGAAACAAGAAAACTTTCTGTGGTAACAAATGAATAGCTCTTCTCCACACTCCCAGTGGCTAAATCACTGGGTTGATTCCACATGCACTGGACAGGCAGCCTGGACACTTGGAAAATTTCAGGGATTCAAAAGGTCACCTAGACTCTGAGCCCCCAAATTCTTGCCCTGCTGTGTGGAACTCTCAGCTACTTCTGCCAAAAGCAGTTAAATTCTCCATATGTAGCCTAAGAAATCTTACTCTTTTCTATGATATGATATAGAAAATATTTTCTATGATATCATTTCAGGCATCCTAAATATTGCTTAATTTCTGTTTCTAAAAAAGTCAGACACTTGGCAGTCACACCCACAAACTCCCTCCCCTCCTCCTCAGCAGGCACCATATAATCTCATCAAGGGCCAAGATCCAAAGACTCTGAAATAAAGCTCTCAGAAGAGAGCAACACAGAACATCCTGACCCCACACCAGGCTGTCTTCACCAGGGCCGCTCAGAGAGAGGTAGGTTGAATTTTCCTTCCCACCCCAGGAGAACCCTGGCAGCCAAAAAACTCCAGAACTCAACCATAGTCATGCTCAAGGCCACTCTCCACAGATTTGGATGAGCTCCACTCACGAGAGAACCTGCAGAAAAACCCAGGTATGCAGGACCTATGGCTGAAATCTCCAAGCTCACTTGGAGAGGGAATGGGCCTCCTCTCCCCAGCTCCCAAGTTTTCCAGTAACTTGGCAGTCACACCCACAAACTGCCCTCAGTGGCACCATATAATCTCATCAATGGCCCAGAGAGCAACATTGGCCTAACCCATGAGTGAATCTGCTCTATATTCATATTTTAAATTTCAGAATTTGTGGAGCACTCGGCTGCATTCGTGGCCATGTTACCTCTCATACTCTAGCCCACTGATGTACATGGTACACGGTGGTGGGATTAGTGTTTGAATATTAAATGTAATGAGTTATTGTGAAAATATTTCTGTCACTATCACCGTCCTCCTGTTGTTCATCGATTTGCTGGAGCAGGCCCAGTAACATTGTGAGACTTGTTGTTACTGTGTTTGGCATGTCGAATACGCCACGGGGAGCTTGCCAGGCTCTGCCGTGCGGGTGAGATACTCTCGGTAGCTTGCTGGGCTCTCCGAGAGGGGTGGAGGAATTGAACTCAGGTCGGCCAGGTTGGCCGCATGCAAGGCAAACACCTTACCCACTGTGCTATCAAAAATAAAATTAAATGAAAAATTCAGACACTTAAAAGTACTTCAGCAAAAACTTGGTGATCAACAAAAGCAAATAAACATTATTTGTGCTTCCATTGTGGTGGCCATGAGCAACATGAAGCTACTGAGCACTTAGTAGAAAGAGTCTGGATTCAGTAAATATAAAATAGACACCAAGGATTTACTATCAAAAAGAGTAACCAATAATGTTCTAATAATGACCTCATGCTACCATAGTAATATTTTTGTATCATTGGGTTAAATAAAATACATTATTATTATTAATTTCATCTGCATTTTTGCCTTTAAAAATTTAGCTATAAGAAAATTTTAGATTACTTATGTGGTTCTCATTATATTTCTATTGGGAAGTGCTGGTCTATATCATTTGAGGTATTATTTTATACAGAATACCATCTGAATTATTCAGTGGTTTTTAGAAACTCATGAGCTGGACTGGAGAGTTAGTACAGAGGTTGGATGATTACCTTCCATGCAGCTGACCCTCTTTCAAATCCCTGACACCACACAGGGTTCCCCAAAACACCACCAGGGGTCACTTCTGAGCACAACTTAAGAGTAGAGTCCAAAAGTATATATATTAATACTGGTGAACTCCCAATTAGTAAGTTTTAGCATAACTCAAAGATTTAAAACCCCTTTTTATTTACTCATAATCACAGTTAGTTTTTGTACTGGAAGTGATAAAACACTGAAATGGTTTTAAAAACCTTAAAGCACTTACACCATATAGCTCTTGGGCTTCTTTTCCAGTGAGATTTTTTCCAAGAAGTGAGCTAAATAGTACAATAATGCCATGAGAAAATTGTCAAGATATTTATTCCTATGATGAAATTAGAAAGAAAAAAATAAGGTGAATATATTTTAAACATGAAGCTTCTCATAAAAAATATTATGGGGTGCTAGGGAGATAAGGCATGGCCTTATGTGCAGGGCCCAGGGTTTGATCCCAGCACCACATGCTCATCTGCTGGGAGACCTCCAAGCACCATGGGCAAGGATCAAAAACAAACAAAATTAAACTAAACAAAAAACAAGCAACAAGAAAAATCTCACACAGGGTCATACTCCTAGTGCTTGCTTGGGTCAGCTAAACATATCTAGTGGAGAAAACTGATCTTTGATAAGTGGGATCTCCTCACTTGTCATATAAATGAATAGGCTGTAGTCTTTATGGAACTCTAACTACCTGATCTTCATACTCCATGTCCTAGGACTTTCTGGGGTGAGGGCTGTAGTGTATGAATTCCCCTCTTTGGTCATTGAGACCAAACTCCGTAAAACCAGTTCCCTGCCCTTTCTCCAAAACTCAGAATTGTCACTTTTTACCAGATGGAATTATTTCAGAACAAAATATCTCACAGGCATTCCATACCTCATAAAAGTTGTGAAAGAACAAATCCGCTGCATTTCCGTGTCTTGTAGGAAAAGTAAAGCAACAACTGGAGGGAAGACAAGATGGCATTTTATGGAGGGACAGGAGATGCCCACCAGACACCAGAGTGAGGGTGAGGAACAGTTACTCACATTTAGCATCATGGAGGGTGACAGTGCCTTGCTGACTTCGCTTCTCTGAGGTTTTAGACTTATCTTCTCGAAAACCAATTCTCTTATCAGTAAACCTGTTTGGGGAGTATGATGATCGCCAGCTGTGCTTTGAAAGGTTTGTTTGTATGTAATTGGTTGGTATTTAATCCATCCTGAGGTGTAGATGCTTTTACTATAAAGTAATAAGAATTCTGTGCACTGCCGTATGTGTGGCTGACATTTAGTGTTGAATCTTCTCAGAATGTATTTTGTTAAATACTTTACTAAGAGTCAGAGGAATGCACACTGCCTGGTACAAAACGTAAATATAAATTTTCCCCACCACCACCCCCAAACAGGTCTAATTCCAATGCCACTATCACTTTCAGGCTTTAAATTTTTTTAATTATATAAAAGTTACTGGGCCCGCTCGAGCAAATCGATGATCAACGGGAGGGCCTTATATAAAAGTTAATTTATTATTTTCTATTCTTTTTTTTTTTTTTTGGCTTTTTGGGTCACACCTAGCGATGCACAGGGGTTACTCCTGGCTCTGCACTCAGGAATTACCCCTGGCAGTGCTCAGGGGACCATATGGGATGCTGGGAATTGAACCGAGGTTGCCCACATGCAAGGCAAACGCCCTACCTGGTGTGCGAGCGATAGCACAGCGGTAGGGCATTTGCCTTGCACGCAGCCAACATGGCCAACCCGAGTTCGATTCCTCCGCCCCTCTCGGAGAGCCCGGCAAGCTACCGAGAGTATCTCGCCCACACGGCAGAGCCTGGCAAGCCACCCGTGATGTATTCGATGTGCCAAACACAGTAACAACAAAATCTCCAATGGAGACGTTACTGGGCCCGCTCGAGCAAATCGACGATCAACGGGAGGGCCTTTACCTTTACCTTTTAATGATTAACACCAATCCCTCTACCAGTGTACATTTCCCACCACCAATGTCCCCAGTATTCCTCCCACCACCACAACCCAACCCTAACCCCTGCCTCTATAGCAAGAACTTTTTACTCTCTCTCTCTCTCTCTCTCTCTCTCTCTCTCTCTCTCTCTCTCTTTCTCCTCTTTGGGCATTACGGTTTGTAATACAGATAATTGAGAGGCCAATTGGTCCTTTGTCTACTTTCGGCATGCATCTCTCATCCCGAGCCATCCCTCTAACTTTCATCGACTCAGTGGTTCCTTCTATTTCCCAACTGCCCCAGCACATGAGGCTGGCTTCCAACCGTGGAGCAATCCTCCTGGCCCTTGTCTCTACTGCCCTTGGGTGTTAGTCTCATACTATATTCACTTTCAGGTTTTTAACCTTATATAAAAAGCCAGATTTGCTCCTAGCCAAATTAGCATTAACAAGGATGCATTGTAAAAGACTAGTGTAACTCCCAACAGAACTATGAAATAGTGCTTCTTTCCTTGCTGCCATCTGTATTTTATCCCAGGGTGTTTTCTGAAGAGCCTGTAGAGATAGCATCGGTCATACTGCCCACGGTTTGGGAAGTGACTCTACCTGTCAGAAGCTGTGCCATCACTTTCAGCAAAGTGAACTGCTTTGCCTTTCTTTCCTTTTTCTTTATACTCCATTGTAGGTACAAAGCTGTAATAGAAATGAGAAAAATCATGAACTAGAACCTTTCCTAAGAAAGCAAATAATATCCTGATAGTGGTTCATATAAATATTAGGAGTAGAATTTATTATGAGTGGAGACTGAAAATAGTATGAGGCATAGCATTCAATTCATCTGGTTATATGAGAAATAAATATCAGGAAAAAGATGAAAATTTTCAGGTTTCACATTTCTAGCTATCTTCAGCCTTCAGAATATCACCAACTGTAGCACTGTAGCACTGTCCTCCCCTTGTTCATCAATTTGCTTGAGCGGGCACCAGTAACATCTCCATTGTAAGACTTCTTGTTACTGTGTTTGGCATATCAAATATGTCATGGGTAGCTTGCCAGGCTTTGCCATGAGCGCGAGATACTCTTGGTAGCTTGCTGGGCTCTCTGAGAGGGGCGAAGGAAACGAACCCGGCTCAGCCAGGCCAGCAGTGCACAAGGCAAACGCCCTTCCGCTGTGCTATTGCTCTAACTAAAAATAAATAAATAAAATTTCAGCTGAAAATTTTGTGGGAAGTTTATAAGAAACACTCACAATCAATTCAGAAGGATTTCTTGGCCCAAGAAATAGTGATGGCAGCACATGCCAGCACTTCGAGACATAGTCTCACTTATTCTTCATAAAAAAACCAGGAAGAAATATTCACTGTATCACTGTATCACTGTCATCCTGTTGTTCATCGATTTACTTGAGTGGGCACCAGTAACATATCCATTCGCCCAACCCTGAGATTTTAGCAGCCTCTTCTTACTCGTCTTTCGCAACGCTGCTGTATTGGAGGTTCTTTCAGGGTCAGAGAAATGAGACCTGTTATTGTTACTGTTTTTGTCATATCGAATACACCACGGGTAGCTTGCCAGACTCTCCCAGGAAGAAAATATTAGTAAAATATATTTATATAATATGTATGTACATACAATAAATCAAAGTTAAATCTCAGAAAGATACTGAATAATTTGCCCAATATAACTTTAGTAAATGTCAAACTCAGGGTTGGGGCTCAGATACTCTAGATACAGAGCTGTACTGCTTCACTCAGCCACCTCAGTTGTCACTTCTAAGAATTCTTCTAAGGGTCTTGATTCTTGCTATGGAAGTTTTAGGATTCATAACTTAACTAAAGCTCTTTAAACTCAATAATTGTTAACCAGCATTACCAAATGGTAATTGGCTTAACTAACAAAAGAGTACAATTAAGCAATAAAGAAATATAGGCTAGGCACTGAACTTCCATATAGCCCAGTAATTTTACCCCTGGGAATATACCCTTACCCTAAGGGACCCAAAACTCAAGATAGAAAAGGCATCTGCACTCCAATGCTAACTGCAGCACTAGCCAAAACCTGGAAACAACCCAAGTGCCCAAGAATAAACGACTGTATTAAGAAGCTATAGTGGGACTGGAGCGATAGCACAGCAGGTAGGGCATTTGCCTTGCACATGGCCGACCCAGGTTCGATTCCCAGCATCCCATATGGTCCCCTGAGCACCGCCAGGAGTGATTCCTGAGTGCAGAGCCAGGAGTAACCCCTGAGCATCGCCGGGTGTGACCCAAAAAAAGCAAAAAAAAAAAAAAAAAAGAAAAAGAAAAAAAGAAAAGAAGCTTTACTTCATATACACATCGGAATACTATTATTCAGCTATTAGAAATAATGAAGTCATAAAATTTGCTGATCCATGGTTGGGTCTGGAGCATATACTGTCCTCTCGTTGTTCATTGATTTGCTTGAGCAGGCCCAGTAACATCTCAATTTTGAGACTTGTTGTTACTGTGTTTGGCATATTGAATACGTCACAGGTAGCTTGCCAGGCTTTGCTCTCTCGGTAGCTTGCCAGGCTCTCCGAGAGGAGCAGAGGAATCGAACCCGGCTCGGCCGGGCTGGCTGTGTGCAAGGCAAATGCCCTACCGCTGTGCTATTGCTCCAGGGAGCATATAATTCCGAGTGTAATGAGTCAGAGGCTAAGGGACAGACACGAATGATCATTCACACTATTTTGTGGGATATTTTTTAAAAAAGCATTGTAGGAGAATAATGCTCAAAGACAATGGATTCAAAAGGCAGCAGAACTGTTCCTTCGTAGGAAGCTTGCCACAGTTGGGATAGGGAAGGGACCCGTCTGACATTAATAGGGAGAAGTGGTCAATTTGGATGAGACCTGAGTGCTGAAAGGAGGTAAGGTGATATGCATGATACATATCCTTTCAGTAATATTATTGCAAACCACAGTGCCTTAAAGGGAAAGGGGAAAGTGTTTACCATAGAGGCAGGTTTTGATGTAGAAGAAACACTGGGGACATCGGTGCAAGGAAAGGGACACTGATGAAGGATTGGTACTCAATCATTGTATGTCTGAAATTCAATCATGAATAACTTTGTAATTTGATATTTCACAGTGATTCAATAAATAGAAAAGTTGTTTTGGGTGACCAACTCTCCCTAGGATTTCTCTTCTCTGAACATGAGAAAAAAAAGATACAGATAATCAAAGTCAATAGCAAGTAAAACTGCTCCTATCCTTTTCCCAGTCTCATCCCTATAATTCAAAGGTTCTTGCATATCAATTTCCTTGAGAGGATTTGAGATGAGAGAAGAATGTGAAAGATTCATTTAGAACTATCTTGAAGGACATTCTATGACCAAGTGAAATGAACTGAGAATTTTATTTTTTTTATTTATTTTTTTGAACTGAGAATTTTAAAGTCATAAATCACAGAATGTTTTGGTAAAAGGACAACTAAAAGGTCATCTAGTACATGGCTTCCATTTTACTGATTAAGAATTAAGGCTGAACTCTTTACAATAGCCAGAATCTGGAAAAAACCTGAGTGCCCAAGAACAGATGACTGGTTAAAGAAACTTTGGTACATTTACACAATGGAGTACTATGTAGCTGTTAGAAAAGATGAAGTTATGAAATTTACACACAAGTGGTACTACATGGAAAGTATCATGTTAAGCGAAATGAGTCAGAAAGAGCGGGATAGACACAGAAAGATTGCATTCATCTGGGGAACATAAAGCAACAAAAAGTGAGAGTGACACACAGGAATGGCTGAGATTAGTACCAGGAATTTTGCTCCATGAATGGAAGGCCAGCCACAGGCTCTAGGTGAAAAGGAAGCTCAGATAGAGAAGAGATTACCAAATGAAGGGTGTTGTGAGGGCCCTCCCAGGGTGGGAGAAGCATGCTAAAAGTAGTCGATAGACCAAACATGATTGCCACTCAAAGCCTCTCTTGCAAAACACAGTACCCAAAAGAAGAGAGAGAGAACAAGGGGGAATACCCTGCCACAGAGGCAGGATGGGACGGGGGGGGGGGGGGATGAGGGGGGGGATGCTGGGACCCATGGGGATGGATGACGGGCACTGGTGGAGGTATGGGGACTTGATCATTGTATAACTGAAACCCAAGCACAAAATTTGTAAGCCTATAACTGTACCTCATGGTTTTTCACTAATAAAAAAAAAAATAAATTAAAAAAAAAATATATAAATAAAAAAAAATAAATAAAAAAAAAAAAGAATTAAGGCTGAGAGGCTGAGCCATTCCCAGTGTTTGAAATTTGTGACACGTATGTCTTCAGTAAATTGTTCTAGCATTTATTGCTAAGCCCTTGATTCTCTGGCCCCTGGACATATTTCTATACTCCGCACTTCTCTAACTGGCTTTTTACTTCACAAATAATTTTTAGCTTGGCTGGTGAGACAGATTTCTCTTTGTGAGTACTCTGCCCTAGATTTAAAGGCGTGAGCCTATGCTCACTGTAGATTGGAAATCACTAAAAAAAATCACTAGCAATTACTGAAAATTGTCTCCCACTCCCTTCATCTTGCTTTTTCTTAGTCTCTTTATAAAGCTGCGCTCCTTAGCTATGTTCCCTAAGTGAGGGCTTCCCAGGGTCCCATCTGATTAATCATCTCACTTCCTCTGAGTCATTCCATCAACACTACTAAGTTAAGGTTCAGATCCTTCTGCGGATATATAAAAAGGTGTTGATAGATTCAACACCTATGTTTGGGGCATTCTTACAAATACATCAAAATCAGTGTGTCCCAAACTGAATTCATTTCTCTTTATCTTGTATTTCCTGCTCTTATGTTCTCCATCTCAACAATCAAGTACCATCATGAACTCATGCATCTGCGTTAGAAAATGGTACACTGCCCTCAGTCTTCACGGCCCACTAATCAATTGGAAGGGGGGTTGGGAGGAGGGCTTTTGGCCACACCTGACAGTACTCAGCAGCTACTCCCAACTCTGTGCTCAGAGGATGCTGCAGTGTTAGGGATGGAATCCAGGTCAATTTCTGTACTAGCTCTCTGGCCCCTATGTTATACTTCCCTCTTTTCCCACTGTTATTATCTCAGTGTTAGCCACCATCAAACATCAAATGAATTTATGCTCATGGTGTTTCACTAATAAAAATCTAAATCAAAAAATACAAAAAAATTAATTTATGCAATTGCTGCTTCTTTTCTTAGGAAGCGACACATTAAATAGTACTCTGGAATTACTTCTGCCTCTTTTCTCAGGGGACCTTGCAATGTTAGGGTTCAAACCCAGGACTCCTACGTACAAAGCATCCACATCAGTCTCTGCAGTCCCACAAATACTTTTTGACTGATTTCCCCAGCACTAGATTTGTACTTCTCCAAACTGTTTTCCATGCTGCAACCAGGATCACCTTCCTAAGATAAAAATCAATCACAGTTTATATCTGGACTCAAAACTTTTAATGGCTCCTCTGTGCTCTCTGGATAAAGTTCAGGTTCCTCAGCATGGTATGCAAGGCCCATTCCTGATGCCATACTGGCTGTGAACACTCAGACCCACCTGCAGTCCCACATGTGTCCCAGATCTTCACACATCTTGGGTTCTGCTTTAAATATACTCCCTGCTTCTCAACCAAATTCCCCTTTATCTCCTCAAGTCTTGGCTTAGCTATTGCCTCTCCTGTGAAGCCTCTGTCTTCTCTCTCCCCTGGGCTTTAGGAAAATGCTCCCAACCTGGGTCAGGGTATTTGGGTGACTTGGTAGTCCAGATTCCCAGCATAGTTCGTGGCAGCGGTTACTGGTGAGTGAGACCCAAGGAGAGCAGCAATCTTGGTGACAGTGTTAGTCACAGCACTTCAACACAGATTCCCTTTCTGATAACAGCTCAGAAGTGTCTTTTATTTTCAGTAAATTACAAAGTCTAAACTGTACCTTCAAATTGCTCAGTCTCCCTGGCCTTTACTATTCCCTCCTCCCTACACTCAGTAGGAAAGTAGCTTCTGTCTTTTCCTAGCCTAATCTGTCCTCTTGATCCCATTTCCAATCTTGTGATATTGCGGGGGAGAGGGGCATGAAGGATGAGTCACACCCAGTGGGACACAAGGTTTACTCTTGGCTCTGTACTCAGAGATCACTCCTGGCATTGCTTGAGGGAACATACATGGTGCCAGGTATTCAAATGGGTCGACCATAGGTGCCAAGCAAGTGTCTTGCCCTTGTTCTATCTCTCCAAAATTTCCTTGTACCATTTCTTTCTTCTAAACTTGAGATTTTTCTTTATTATTTATTGATTTATTAATTTTGGTTTGAGGGTCACACCTGGCAGTGCTCAAAGGGATTATTGGGGGGTTGTTATGGGGGAGGGGTCTAGATATCAAAGCCAGGTTGGTCATATGCAAGGTCAGCACCTTACTCACTGTCCTCACTCTCTAGCCCCTGAGATTTTCCTTTAAAAACCAAAAAAAAGTCTCTTCTGTTAGTAGATTCCTAAAGACCACTATTTATTCCCTTCTTCACTAGCAACCTTACAGTTCTTGCTTGTCTCTATGTTTAATTACATATTTGCTTGGTTTGCTGTATTGGGGATGGGATTCATAATAGGAGGCAGATGTTTTCTGGCTGGTTCACACTCCTAAGTCTAGTTTGCACTAGTTTCTCATCTTCATCTCACAGTCTCTCCTAAAACTACCATCCTCCTGTTTTTTCACCTAGGTTGTCCCAAGTAACCTCAATTTTGTTAAGTTCAAAAGGTCTCTGTTGCGATCAGGTAGACAGCATAGCAACTAAGACACTTGCCTTTTACATACGACCAATAGAATTGGATCTGAGCGCCATGTATGATCTTCTGAGACCCCCCCCAAAAAAAAGTGATCCCTGATCACAGAATCACAGAGCCAAGTGTAGCCTTGAGCATTTTCAGGTGCAGTTCAAATCTCTCCCGCACCCAAAGAGAGATGCCTGACTCTGTTCTGACCCCAACTAGAACTTTCTTTAGCATCTGTGAGTTCTGATCACTTCCCCACTCCAATGTCCTTTGTTAGAAAACCTACTAGTGCCTCAGTGCTTTTCTATCAGTTCTTCTAATTATTGTCAAGTTCCTCTTTTGGGAGAAGGAACTTGGCAGAGTGGGGGGGAGGGGCAGGGGGTTGTTACACCTAGTGGTGGTCAGGGTTTACTCCTCACTCTGTGCTCAGGGATTACTCCTGACAGGGTTCAACGACCATATGTGCTGCCCGAGATTGAACCCTGGTAGTCATGTGCAAGGCATATGGCCTGCTCACTGTACTATATCTCCAGTCCCTATCTAGCTCCTCTTTCCTTTGTCTTTCCACTATTCCTGAGAGTCATGTCAAGATATCAAAAGTTTAAAATGTCAGGACTGGGTAAGGCACAAAAGACTGGAACATACATAGTTACCTGAGCACCTCCAGGAATCCCTCCCACATCTCCACAAAAAAAAAAAAAATTCACTGATTAAGAGACAAATGAAACTCACATTGAAATGTGTGGAAACTAGTTGGAACCTCACTGAAACAAACTTAAAAGGCATTACACATGGGAGGTAAGGCTCTTGCCTTGCAAGCAGCTGACTCCTGTTCAATCCCCTGGGCATCACCAGGAGTGATCCCTGAGCACAGAACCAGGAGTAAGAACTGAGTATCACCAGGCCCAAAACCCAAAATTAAATAAAAATAAAAGCATTACATAATAGAAAAATACGAATAAAAACTGAATATGCAACAATATGAAGAAACTACTATCAATAGCATATATCAGGGCTCATTATACCATTTTCCCTGTAGCCATAGGTATGTGCCTGAAATATAGTGTAAAAATTATAATATGACCTATTATAATGATATATTATGTAATAATACCTTATATAATATCCAAATAATTATATGTCTCTCTATATATTTTTTTTGCTTTTTGGGTCACACCCAGTAATGCTCAGGGGTTACTCCTGGTTCTGCACTCAGGAATTACTCCTGGCAGTACTCGGGGGACCATATGGAATGTCGAGGATCGAACCTGGCCAGCCACACACCCTACCTGCCTTACTAATGCTCAGCCCTCTCGCTATATTTTTAATTTTAAGTAATATTATAAGGAAAAAAGACCAGTAAAAAAAGTCAGAACTGCAAAGATTGTAGATTAGATTAGAATGATCCATCACAAGATAAAAAATAAAATTTACCAGATTGTAAAACATAAAATTAAGGTATTAACTGTTAATATTGGTAAACTGGTGGAATTGTGGCAGAATCTCCCCATTTTATCTCTGCATATTTGAGCTTGTTTTTCAATATATGTATAACTTTGTGATAAGAAAAAATATGGAAACACAGAATGAAGTAAATTAAAAGTCCAGTTCTATCCCTGGCACCATATACAGTCATGTAAGCATACCAGATGTGACGCCTGAGTACAGATGCAGGAGTAATACCTGAACACTGCTAAGTATGGTCCCAAAACAAAATAATAAATAGAAATACATAAGCTTTATACTTTTATTTATTTTAGTTTTTGGTGTTTGGCCACAGCCGATGGTGCTCAGGGATTACTTCTGACTGTACTCAGGGATTACTTCTGGCGGGGCACGAAAGATCATTTGGGTGCTGGAAAATGAATGCAGGTCAATCATGTGCAAGCCAAGCGCCCTCCCTACCTCAGGCAGTCAAGCTATACACTTTCAATAGTCACCGGGGATTATTTTTTCTAATCTAATTATATCTTTTGGGCTGGAGCAGCACAGCAGGTAAGGTAGGGCATTTGCTTTGCACATGGCCAACCAGGGTTCGATTCCTCCGTCCCTCTCAGAGAGTCTGGCAAGCTACCGAGAGTATCCCACCCGGATGGAAAAGCCTGGCAAGCTACCAGAGGCATATTCGATATGCCAAAAACTGTAACAAGTCTCACAATGGAGACATTACTGGTGCCGGATCAAGCAAATAAATTGATGAACAATGGGACGACAGTGCTACAGTGCTACAATTATATCTTGTAAAATTTGCCGTCATTGTTGCAGGTGTAATATGATTCTGTATTGCTTGCCTTATTATTTTAACCTATGTAATTTTGACAAAAGTTATAATAAAGTTTTGTTAAAATTTACCTTCTGTATTCAAGAGTTTTGGTGTCATCTTTCCAGCACCACATCCCTAATCGTAATCCCATTTGCTGCAAAAATGAAATCACAGTAAAAATAAAAGCTCGATATGCAATTTCACATAGACACAAACTTTCAAAGAATTCCCGCTGTCACTCAAACTTTCTGCAATAACAGAAAGTTTCACCCCCAAACCAAGATTTGAGCCTTCTTGGTCGTTTGTTAGGTATAGTTCCAGTAGAAAGAAGACAAGGGCGGAGTGAAACAGACTTACTTCCGAGCTAGTCCGGATTCCCATTGGAGACTTGGCGCAGTAGGTACCGGGTGGAGGCTGGGCCCGCATTTCGCAGCAGCGAGTCTGCAGACAGCAAGTTGACCGTTCGCAGGCGGCCGGCCAGGCGAGCCCTCCTCCATCTCCGGGACTTGGCCCGGAGCACGATTGCTTACCCCGTGATGGAGCTGTTTATCCTGTTGCAGTCAGGTAGTTGGAGTGTGGCGGGACTTTCAGAAATATCTAAATATCTGCGTGGCCAACAAGCATTCCACGCTGGCCGTTTGCCTAACACACCCCTTAATTTGTTTCTCTGTGGCCAAATGCGCCCGTTTTTCTCAGTACCGCCCGTCCCGGGGATTAGGGCGCCCCCCCCAACCCTCCCAGCTGCCCATCGGGGTGGGGGCGACCGAACAAGGTCTGCACTCACGTCCGACCGGCCGTTGGTCCGCAGCTTCTTCGCCGAAGAAAGGTCCTGAACGCGAAACATTTAGTCCCTTAACCAGCCTCCCCGGTCAGCCGCGGGGTATCACTGAGGCAACCACCTGCACAACAGAAAACCGTGGGGAGTCGGGCTGGCTAGGGAAGGAAGCCAAGCGGGGCACCGTGGGGTACGGGGGCTGCTCCCGAGGGCGGGCGGCTGACTCGAGTCCCCGAGACGGGTGCTTCCACAATGTCGTGGCTCCGCCCACCTTCCCATCCCCTTTGCTGTCACAACTTCTGGGGTCCCGGGACAGCTGCCCAGTGCTCCTGGGTGCTCTGCATGCTTGAAGCACAAGTTCAAACCCTCGAACCGCAAAGCTCCTCAAGCACCCCCCCTAGGGTGACCTTGGAGACACCTCCTTTACCTGTACAGTTGGGTGGCCCAGATGACCCCAATACCAGGTGCTCTGGCTGCTCTGCATCCTCAGACTTTGTCTTTGAACTTCCTGGCCTCTTGGTCAGCCACCCCTCTGTGCATTACTTGAGAGGCCTAAAAAAACACTTTTTTTTTTTTTTTAGTGGCCGGGGGTATAATTATTCAGTGGGCTTTTTTTTTTTTAATGGCTTTCAGCCCAAAAATTCACTTGTTTTGTTCCGGATTTTGGTTTGGGGGCCACACCCAGTAATTTTCAGGGGTTACTCCTTGCCCTGTGCTCAAGAATTATTCTTGGCAGTCAGTGCTCAGTACAATATAGTGGATGCCAGGGATCAAACTCGTGTAGGTTGTGTGCAAGACAAGTGCCCTAACTGCTGTGCTGTGATTCCAGCGCCCACTTTTGTTTTTTCAATTGAAATACCTTGGGGCTGGAGCAATAGTACAATCTCGCACGTGCCTGACTCAAGCACTGCCAGGAGTAATTCCTGAGTGCAGAGTTAGGAGTAACCCCTGAACATCACTAGGTATGACCCCCCCCCAAAAAAAACAAAAAACAAAAAATCAAAACAAAACAAACCACTGTAGCACTGTTGACCAGTTGTTCATTGATTTGCTCTGGCGGGCACCAGTAATGTCTCCATTGTGAGACTTATTACTGTTTTTGGCATATTGAATCCGCCCCGGATAGCTTGCCAGGCTCTGCTGTGTGGACAGGATACTCTCTTAGCTTTCAGAGGGATGGAGGAATTGAACCTGGGTCGGCTGCAAGCAAGACAAACGACCTACCCGCTGTGCTATCGGTCCAGTGATTAAAAAAAAAAATCACTGGTACTCATTCAACAATTTTTTAGGTATTTTGTGTTCTGCTCTGTTTTGGTTTTGGGGATGGGAGTTCGGGACACAGTCTGAAGCACTCAGGGCTTACTTTTGACTCTGTGCTCAAGGATCATTCCTGATGAGCTGAGAGCAAAGCCTTACCCACTGTAGCACTTGCTTCCCAGCCCTCAATAGGTATTTTTATATTTATCATATTTGGCTGCATAATCCTCACCACCATATAATTCTTCAGCACTGTACTGTTTCTAATACCTGCACAAATTCTTATATATAACTATATATATAAGAATATATAAATTCTTATATATATATATATGAGTAAGGTAAGGTAAGGTAAAGGCCCTCCCATTGATCGTCGATTTGCTCGAGCGGGCCCCGTAACGTCTCCATTGGAGACTTGGTTGTTACTGTGTCTGGCATATCGAATACTCTCGGTAGCTTGACGGGCTCTCCGAGAGGGGCGGAGGAATCGAACTCGGGTTGGCCATGTTGGCCGCTTGTAAGGCGAACGCCCTACCTGCTGTGCTATCCCCGCTGTATATATATGAGTACTGCTATTTATTCAGCCACTGATTAGGCTGATTGAATTGGGCATGAACTCCACCTTACTTTTTTTTTTTTTTTCATTTTTTATCACGGTCACAGTTCTCCCATTATTCATCAATTTGCTCGAGCGGGCCCAGTAACATCTCCATCGTGAGACTTGTTGTTACTGTGTTTGGCATATTGAATACATCACGGGGAGCTTGCCAGGCTCTGCCGTGCGAGCGAGATACTCTCGGTAGCTTGCCGGACTCTCTGAGAGGGGCAGAGGAATCGAACCCGGCTGGGCTGGGCCGATTGCATGCAAGGCAAACGCCCTACCGCTGTGCTATCACTCCAGCCCTTCATTTTTTTATAATTTTATTTATTGAATCACCATGAGAGCAGTTACAGAGCTTTCGAGTTTAAGTCTCGGTCATACAATGAAACACCTATACCTTCACCAGTGCCCATTCTCCACCACCCAAAACCCCAGTATAGCCCCATCCTATACCCTCCCCACCTGTGGGGCAGATGATTTCCACATTACTCTCTCTCTACTTTGATTACATTCAATATTTTGATACCAGACCCACGATTATTATTTGGGATTTTACCCCAACACTCAGATCTGCGGAAAGGCAACAGTGGACAATTTGTCTTCTATTGCTGGTTATGAATAACGTATGATGTTGCACAGCTGCAGTAGTGGCCGCGTGATTTTGAAATTCCAAAATTTTAATTAAATCTGGAGGGATTTCTGCCAAAACCTGCTGGGTTCTGAGATTTGTTCCTGAATCTCTTGGATCATGGCCATTAAGCAGCTTGATCAGGAGCCAGAGAGGCCATTTGTGGGCAGCGACTCAGGGTCTCGTTGGGGTGGGAAGGAAAGGGCTGGCTCCACCCCCATCCTGTGAGGCCCCACATGTCTCATCACTGTGGGCCTGAACCTGACTGTCCAATGGCCTCTGGAAGATGGCGGCCACCTAGCCACCTAGGGGGAACAGGAGGAAAGACAGCACCCTTTCCCTCCTGGGGTGGCCCGGCAACAGTAACCTACTTCAGGGACCAGATGCATTTCTGCCAAAAGCCGCTGAGTTTCAAGATTTGTTTCTGAGTCTCTGGGATCATGGCCGTTAAGCAGTTTGATCAGGAGACAGAGAGGCCGTTCGTGGGTGGTGATTCAGGGTCTCCTTGGGACAGGGAGAAAAGGGCCGGCTCTACCCCCATCCTGTGAGGCCCCACGTGTTTCGTCACTGTGGGCCCAAACCTGACTGTTCAGTGGCCCCTGGAGGATGGCAGCCACTGGGCTGTCAGGGGAAACAGGCCAAGGCATGAAACCTATTCCCACCTGGGGTGGTTTGGCACTGGTAACCTATTGCAGGGACCTGATGCATTTCTGCCAAAAGCCGTAGGGTTTTGAGATTTGTTTCTGAGTCTTTGGGATCATGGCCGTTAAGCAGTTCAATCAGGAACCAGAGAGGCCATGCCTCCAATTACATAGCTGAACCCGAGGTGGTTTGTGGGTGTATCTCCCACATACCTAACTTTTGGTTATTTACTTTCTTGGTAAACTTGGCCCCAAGTTTTTTGGGTCTGGCCAAAGCAGAAGCAATTTTGGGGTATCTGGAAGTCTGAAGGCGCCATCAGATTGCTGATGCACTTGCCTCAGAGGTACACATTGACCTGCTGGCAGCACCATACCCCCACCTGCACAAATTCTTAAAGCTCTATTCTTAAAGTTCCACTTCACTTATTTGCAAAAATATTTGTTAAAAATCTATAACAATTATGCAGTGAAATTTGGAAATCTTCAAATTGTGTTTTTTAACTTCTTACAACAGTTCATATACAAATTCTGGTTGTATTTTTTCTTCTAATAATGTAAGATATTAGATGGATGATATATGATTGCAAATGCCTAATATCTACTGCTTTTGCTTTATATGCACAGTTTAATGGGTTGAATGCTGATTGTATATCCCCATAACTTTAAAGATACGGCAACCATGAATTCATAAATTCTCCTTACCTCCCTACCCTCCCACTCTCACTAACAATTATGAATTGTAGTGGTCTAAACCTTTAATTACCTACATTATTGTTCCATTTGAAGTCATTGTTGGTATAGTTTGGTTCAGCTACAGGTATTCCTACTCATACACTGGTAGTGTTGGTTTTAGACTGTTGCCTTAGGCTGTCATTTTATAAGATGATTTACTTGAAAGAGAACAAAATTATCCATGGCATACCCAGAGCTTTTCACCAAGGAGTTTATATAACCTGGAATGGTGAGGACAGAGAGAAAGAATGTACAGAAATTTTGGGAAAGGCCTGAGAAAGATCAAAGATGGAATCTGTTTTTAGAAAAATCATCCTTTAACCTCTTCAAATTATTCCATCATGTGAAAAAATGCTAATAGGAAACAAAGATTTGGGGCTAGAGAGTTAATCCAGCTGGTAAGGCACTTGCCTAGCAGGTCGCTGACCTGAGTTTGATCTCCAGGACCCTATATTGTTTCTGGAGCATCACCAGGATTAATAGCTGTGCACAGAGCCAGGAGTAAGCCCTGAGCATCAACCAAGTATGGGTCAAAAGCCAAAAGCCAAAAACAAACAAAACCTAAAGATCTTTTATATCTTTCTATAATTTAATTTCAGGTTAATAATGCACAAAACTAAGGTAAAGTGAGGACTGCAATCAGCTGCATAGAATTTATATAACCAGTGATTTCACATATTCAAGTAGACCATTTTTTTCAAAGTACACCTTTTTTTACTGGTGATCTACAACCTGATGAAAAGGGGGAAAAGATGACTAGAACAACAGTACAGCGGGTAGGGAATTTGCCTTGCACACAACTGACCCTGGTTCGATGCCCAGCATCCCAGATGCTCCTCAGAGCACTGCCAGGAATAATTCATGAGTGCAGAGCCAGGAGTAAACCCTGAGCATTGGCAGGTATGACTCAAAAAAGAAAAAAATAAAACCAGGAAGAAGTTAGTTTGGGGGCCGCACCCAACAGTGCTCAGAGATCACTGGTTTTTTTTGTTTTGTTTTCACTTTTTTGGGGTCACACCTGTGATGCTCAAGTAATACACCTGGTTCTGCACTAAGAATTACTCCTGATGGTGTTTGGGGGACCATCTGGGATGTGGGGGATTGAACCCGTGTTGGCCACATACAAGGCAAATGCCCACATATGAGGCAAACACCCTCCCCACTGTACTATTGTTCTGGCCCAAACTAAGGCTCTTTAACTTGATAATTGTTGATGAGCATTACCAAATGGTAACAACGGACCAAATTAAACAATAATTAAATACAGACTAGGAACTGAACTTCCATACGGCCCAGTAATTTCACCCCTGGGACAATACGCTTACCCTAAGGGCCCCAAAACACAAGACAGAAAAGGCGTCTGCACTCCAGTGCTAACGAAAGCACTAGCAAAAATCTGGAAACAACCCAAGGGCCCAAGAACAACCGACAAAAAATAAAAAGTCAAATTTTAATAAAATTTTATTATATATCAAGTACTGTGAGAATTTATTGAGGTTATTTTCAAATTCACACATCCCACAACCTGCGTATTTTGATAGGTGTTTAGATTTATTTGCTTCAAAGTGGGCCAACTATATTAATCATTCAGTTAATAATTCAAATGCGTGGGACCAGAGCAATAGTGCAGCAGGAAGGGTCCTTGCTTGCCTTGCACATAGCCAACCCGTGCTCCATATAGCCCCTGAGCCCGCCAGGAGTGATCCCTGAGTAAAGAGCCAGAAGCCCTGAGCACTGCCAGGACCCCCCCCCCCCCCCAACATACACACATACTAAATTTCAAACACCTATTTCGAGAAATGTACTTTTTCACCCTTTAGCATTTCACCCCTTAGTGTTACTGCATTTTCTTTAGTCAACACCACTAGTATACAGTGTAACTCGCTTTCAAGTTCAAGTGGTGTTAATTATTTCTTAAAACTGTAACTTAGCCTCCTTCTAAACATCAAGTGATTTTTCCATTGATATTTGAGTCGGCCTGATCTATTATCTACTAAGTAGTTCTGGTTACCAGGTTCAAGTGAACCCTGGAAACACTGAATGGCTATTTTGTTGACTTTATCTTAGTAATATTTGGGTGTAGGTAAATTTGAGAGGACAGAATTAAACACTCAAAGGAGGCTGAAAGTTTTCATATTCATACTAAATTACACTTACAGAAAGACCCCGTTGCAGGGGCCAGATAGATCTTATAGTGTTGTCCTGCACACAGCCATCCTGGAATCAATCTACCGTACCACATATTAGTCCCCTGAGCACTGCCCAGAAAAATTCTGAGGACAGAGCCAGGAGTAAGCCCTGAGTACTGCTGGGCTGTGGCCCCTATACCAAAATTAAAATACTCTATTGTAAATTTACAGAAAAGGAAAGGGTAATGCTCTTTTTATTTTTGACTTTGGGATCACACCTGCTGAGGTAGAGCATGAGGCGTGATGAGGAGTGTCAGAGGTTATGGTTTCCACATGCAAAGCTTGTGCCCCATGATTTAGTCCTGCACTATCTTACCTGCCCAGGAAACAGCATTTTAAATAAAAGGTTAATATAATGTATTATCTTGGTAAAATGTTAACTCCAAGGCTGCACTATTCATATGATTGTTAATATCAAGGTAGTTTGTCAAATATATGTTATCTGTTATCATAAATATATGATGTTATTTGTTCTTTTGTGGAGTAGGGGAGTACTCATGGTTGTGGTGGCAGAGATCTAACCCAGGGTCTCAATTATGCCAGAGAAGTGTTCTACTGCTGAGCTACATTCCTGAGCCAGTGATGCTATCTCTTGCTACTAAAAATATCCTTTAAGCCTCCTAGATAAAAAATTTTCACAGAAGTAACACTACCACCAAAAAACTAAGGCTTTATATAGTAAACTTTTCAATGTAAAGAGCAATTACATCCACAATTTAAAAGTTTATTTTGAGGGGTTGGAGTGATAGTACAGGAGGTAGGGCATTTGCCTTGCATGCGGCAGACCCGGGTTTGATTCCCAGCATCCCATATGGTCCCCCAAGCACTTCCAGGAGTGATTCCTGAGTGCAAAGCCAGGAGTAATATCTGTGCATCGTCGGGTGTGACCCAACGATCAGGACCAGAGAGCTGGTATATGAAGCCAACCTTAATCTCCAGCATCTATATGGTTCCCTAAACACAGCCAGTAATGATTCCCGAATGAAGAGCCAGGAGCGAACACTGAATATTTTGAAACAATTTCACAGTTGCTTCTATAATACTTCCCCTACCTAAGTTTTACTAAAAGGAGGGATAAACTATATATATCTAAAAATAAGCTCTTGTGTGAGGATCACTAAGTTCTAAAGTCCAATAATTTTAGGTACATTAGTTCAATAGTTTTAGTTATCATTTCAGTAGTTTTTACATTACTCATTTCAAAAATTAGTTTCCCTAGCATGCAACAGACCCTGGTTCGAATCCCAGGCCCAGGAAATGGCCCCCTGAGCACTGCTAGGAGTAAGCTCCCAGCATTAAAAAAAAAAAAACTCTGTAAAATGTAGAAATACAGAAGGATTCACTAAATAAAATATATTTCTATAATTCAACATTGTTTCAAAATAAACTTCACACTTTGAAAAAAATATAAACATTTTTTCATGCAATGAAAATTATCCATTTTCCATTGTTACTTCAGTTACTGAATTTCTCCCAAGCTCCCTTTAGAAAAATTATAACAAAGCAGCCATTTACTTAAAAAACAAAACTCCCTTTCTCCCAAAAAGGAAGTTTAAAAACTTAAAAGCAATGTAATGGGTTCCATAGGGATTTTAATATTCCTGTCATAATTTCAAATCAGATAAACAGGGAAATAAACAAGCCATGTATTAGCAAAATACAAGACTATTTTGTAGTTTGTCCTTAAAAAGAAACTTTTTTACAAAGCAGTTATTACACAAAGAATTTTGATCCTCAAATGGAAATGGTGGTATATTTGTTCTTTACCTGTCGAGTTATATAATTGCTGAAACCATCCTTAATAGACTCAAAAGTTGAGGTTTAAATTAGAAAGAACATTTTTTAAGTGTTTACTTTTGTACTTATACTAGGTGGCTTAAAAGTTTTCCTTGTCAGCTCTTGTTTCAGGGACCTTGTCACAGAGAGCAAATTGTTTCATGCTACCTTAGACAACTCTCAGAGGACAACTCCTGTCCCGGGTTTTTGTTTAGAGATGTATCACTTTACTTAACCCAGAATAGATTTATTTTGTGGAATATTCAGGTGGATTTTCACTTGAACACTTAAGCCAGGTTTTTTGGAATTTAGGTTCAGTTTCTGTATTAAAGGGGTTGGGAAGGGAGTTACCCTGATCTCCTCCCTTGAAGTTGCTGGTAATTCAAAGCAGAAGCCCCATCTGAGAATCAGACAAAATTAAATCAAATTACACATACTAATAATTTAAACACCAAAAAAATAATAGGAGGGAAAATTGAAAACTCCGAGACTAATTTTGAAATTTCAGCTTTAATTTTGAATTTATGCATTTGTTTGCAAAAAATATACCTGCCCTTAACATGACTGCAGTGTTCACTTTAGCCTTATAGTAGTACATAAAATAAACCGTTTCTATATATTCTATTGTTACCAAGCTTCCACAGAGCATGTGTGCAAACTTCATGTTCCTCATCTCAAACAAATCTCCATGCACAAACTAGACTAGGCAAAAAAGGTTCAAGTCATCAAACACACAAAATGCACTAAGAGAAACCTCAAATAATGTTTTTAAAAATCAAACTTTGGAACTAACCTTTTATAATGAAACTAAATTGTTGCCCCTTTCCTTTCATATGCATATACCAGACTAAGGACTCCCAACAATCGACCTCTGTACTTGGCACAGCACATTTCAAAGAAACAAAACAAAGGTGGTGGGGGAAGGAAAGGAAAAGAGGTTTTACTTTCGTGCAAACTTAGTCCACCTCCTCGATGGTCGGTCCCCCGGAGGCTCCAGTACCGCCGCCGCCGCCAGGGCCGCCTTGGTAAAGTTTGCTGATGATGGGGTTGCACACTCTTTCGAGCTCTTTCTGCTTGTGTTCATACTCATCTTTCTCTGCCATCTGGTTTCGGTCGAGCCAGTTGATCACCTCCTGACATTTGTCGAGGATCTTGTTTTTGTCCTGCTCGCCAATCTTGCCCCTCAGTTTCTCGTCTTCCACCGTCTGCTTGATGTTGTAGGTATAGGACTCCACGGCATTTTTGGCGGCGACCCGGTCACGGTTGGCCTCATCTTCCGACTTGTACCTCTCCGCTTCCTGCACCATCCGGTCAATGTCGTCCTTGCTCAGACGACCCTTGTCGTTGGTGATGGTGATTTTATTTTCCTTGCCAGTGCTCTTGTCGGCGGCGGTGACGTTGAGGATGCCGTTGGCGTCGATGTCGAAGGTGACCTCGATCTGGGGGACCCCGCGGGGTGCCGGCGGGATCCCGGTGAGATCGAACTTGCCCAGCAGGTTATTGTCCTTGGTCATGGCCCGTTCGCCTTCGTACACCTGCACCAGCACGCTGCTCTGGTTGTCGGAGTAGGTGGTGAAGGTCTGCGTCTGCTTGGTGGGGATCGTGGTGTTTCTCTTGATGAGTGGGGTCATGACACCGCCAGCCGTCTCGATGCCCAGTGACAGCGGAGTCACGTCGAGCAGCAGCAGATCCTGCACGTTCTCGGACTTGTCCCCGATGAGGATGGCCGCCTGCACCGCAGCCCCGTAAGCCACCGCCTCATCGGGGTTGATGCTCTTGTTGAGCTCCTTGCCATTGAAGAAATCCTGCAGCAGCTTCTGGATCTTGGGGATGCGGGTGGAGCCGCCCACCAGCACAATCTCCTGGATCTGGCCCTTGTCTAGCTTGGCATCGCGCAGCGCCTTCTCCACCGGCTCCAGGGTCCCGCGGAACAGGTCGGCGTTGAGCTCCTCGAAGCGGGCGCGGGTGATGGACGTGTAGAAGTCCACGCCCTCGTAGAGCGAGTCGATCTCGATGCTCGCCTGCGTGGACGAGCTCAGGGTGCGCTTGGCGCGCTCGCAGGCCGTGCGCAGCCGCCGCACGGCGCGCTTGTTGGGCCCAATGTCCTTCTTGTGCTTGCGCTTGAACTCCTCGGCCAAGTGGCTCACCATGCGGTTGTCGAAGTCCTCGCCGCCCAGGTGGGTGTCGCCGGCCGTGGACTTCACTTCGAAGATGCCATCCTCGATGGTCAGGATGGACACGTCGAAGGTGCCGCCGCCCAGGTCGAAGATGAGCACGTTCTTCTCGCCGCCGGCGCAGCCCTTCTTGTCCAAGCCGTAGGCGATGGCCGCCGCCGTGGGCTCGTTGATGATGCGCAGCACGTTGAGGCCGGTGATGGTGCCCGCGTCCTTGGTGGCCTGGCGCTGCGAGTCGTTGAAGTAGGCGGGGACGGTGATGACCGCGCTCTGCACCTTGCCCCCCAGGTACGCCTCGGCGATCTCCTTCATCTTAGTGAGCACCATGGACGAGATCTCCTCCGGGAAGAAGGTCTTGATCTCGCCCTTGTACTCCACCTGCACCTTGGGCTTCCCGCCCTCGCTCACCACTCGGAACGGCCAGTGTTTCATGTCCGACTGGACCGTGGCGTCCTCGAACTTGCGCCCGATCAGCCGCTTGGCGTCGAAGATGGTGTTGGTGGGGTTCATGGCCACCTGGTTCTTGGCGGCGTCGCCGATGAGGCGCTCGGTGTCGGTGAACGCCACGTAGCTGGGGGTGGTGCGGTTGCCCTGGTCGTTGGCGATGATCTCCACCTTGCCATGCTGAAAGACCCCCACGCATGAGTAGGTAGTGCCCAGGTCGATGCCGATAGCCGGGCCGCGGGCAGACATCGTGACTGAAAGGCTGGCGGGCGACGTTAGACGAGAACGCCGGGAGCAGGAGGACCAGGGCGGGGGGGAGGGTCAGAAAATCCGCGGCGTCAACGGTCGCCTCGCACCGCACACCGCGAGCGCACTCAGCGGCGTCTCCCCGCTCGCCGGCTCGGTTCCCAGCTCTTATAGCCGCCTCCCGGCCGCCTCCAGCCACCTCCCGGAGCCAATCCGCTCCCGGTACCGGCCGCCACAGGTTTGCCTCGCTAGGAGTGACCCGCCCCTGGCCCAACAGATTTCCAGTCGGGTGAGGGGCGGGACTCCGGCCCACGCGAGGCAGCTAGGGGCGGCCGTTATGCAAATGAGGCCCCGCCCATGTCCCCCCCACAACCCCCTCAGCGGCAGAGAGTAGCGGCTCTCGCGCGCAGGCGGCTGCTAGGGGGCGTTAGTCTCGAGCCACTCGACCCGGGGTCCGCACTTTTTCTCGAGCACTTCACCTGCGGGAAGGAAGGATTGGCTCCCGTCCTTCTGATTGGCAGGGCTAGCGACCAATGAGCAGCGCGACTATCCAAGTGGGGTGGGGAAGAAGAGGCTGGGGCGTGGCGCGGGAGGGGGAAACCCGAGAGTATTAACTCTAGCCTGCACACCTTAGACACCTAGTCCACACGCACTTAACACGCGCGGGGCAATTCATTCCCAATCGTTTGCACTTAGGAAATAAGACTTTCATGTTTAAAAAGAAGGCTTTTGTTGTTGTTCTTCTTCTTCCTCCGACCCCTATGCAAACTGAGGGAGCTCGGCAAGGCGTGGCCGCTGAGGCAGCGGGGCTCTCGGCCAGGAGAGGGTAGTGCTGTCCGGAGCCAGGCGGTAGAAGGTGGGAGGATCCCCCCTGTAAAAGGGGATCCTGCAGGAAGAACACCTGTAACAATAAGAGCGACAAGGCTTCCCATTGTCGGGGCGGAGTTGGGGAGCCGGAAACCCTTATTCGGGGAGCTTCACAGGATACTTACTACGGGAGACTGAAAAGATGAAGATGAGAGCCAATCGTTCAGAAGGAGAAGTACCGGAAGAAGGGAGCACAAAAGAGGTGCACATCGAAGTTGAGCATAAAGTGGAGACCCTTATAAGACAGGACGCGCCTGAGCCGGGCCCTGAGGTTTTTGAGCAAAGAGAGGGACGGAACGAAAAGCGGTTTATGCACAGGCTGCGGCTAGGATGAGGAAGAGAGCAGCGTGTGCTTTGAGGCGACTGCAAGAGACACACAGAGCAGTAGGCGAGGGACCTACGCAGGAAATCTGCTGGTAGCACTGTCCTCCCATTGTTCATCAATTTGCTCAAGCGGGCACCAGTAACGTCTCACAACAAATTGTGAGACTTGTTGTTACTGTTTTTGGCATATCGAATACATCAGGGGGAGCTTGCCACGCTTTGCCGTGTGGGCGAGATACTCTCGGTAGCTTGCCAGGCTCTCCTAGAGGGGCAGAGGAGTCGAACCCTGGTCGGCTGCGTGCAAGGTAAATGCCCTACCCGCTATGCTCGCTCTAGCACAGAAGATAAATTTACAAGCGGGGGCGGGGGGGGGGGGAACGTTGATCTTTTCCCTAAAGCTAAGGGAAGGAACTTGTGTTGGTGGTGGTTGGAGGTGGGTGGGCAGGGGATTCATCCTTTGAAGTGGACTAATAGCAAAGCCCTGAGACAGCCGTGCTGGAAAGTTTTTGAGAACTACAAAAGTTATCTCAAGAAAGTTGACACTGCTCTATAAAGTCGATCAATAAACAATGAAGTTTCTTTTTTTCAAGTTGTGTATGTAATTTCCAGTTTTAAAAACCTTATTTGCTATTAATTTTATTGATAAGGTAGTATCATTTTAAGCCACAGTTCCCATCTCCTGTCTCATGAGAGAAGTTAAAAGGGAAAAAATTGTACTAGAAAAGCTCGTAAAGAAATTTTAAGAAAAACAGAATTTCTTCTATTGAAGCTTTCTAAAATTGTAAGTACACATTTCTTTATTATTGAAAATTCCTGTCATGTATTTTGTTTTGGTTTTGTTTTTAGGAGGGAATTTGTGGCCTGGAAAGCAATACATATTCTAAGAACTGATGATGTGATTTCAAGATTCTATCCCAGCTACCAACTAATGCTTGAAAATCTTGAGAAACCTAAACTCATTAGATCTCTAGTATTCAGATAACGGTCCCTTCAAGCAAAGAAAGATGGCAAAAACGACAAACGGGGCTTTTCTAATATGCAAACACTGAAATTAGAGTTCCAGGGGAGCGGTGAGAGCACAGGTAGTCAGAGCTTGTCTTGAATGCAGCCAACTCTGATTTGATCCCCAACATCTCATATGGTTCCCCAGCATTTCCCAAACCAGGAACAGTCCCTGAGCACCATCCAGTGTGGCCCAGAAACAAACAAAAAACAAACAGAGCTTTGGAATTGAGGAGTTCTTTTGCACTAGTACTGTACTATCTCTTGCACAGTTTTGAAAACAAGTCTTTCTTTTAAATTCTCATTTTTTAATTTTAGATACTGATATACACTATTAATAATAGGATTTCATGCATACAATGTTCCAACATCACATCCTTCACCAGTGTCCCCCTCCTCAACTTACCCCCTCAATTCTTTCTATTAAATTACCACACTCCTCTTCGACACAGCTTTCTGAACCTATAGTATTAGTTTTTTATATTTTTTATTTAGTTGCATTTTTCCTAATTAAACTTTTCATCTAGTAAGTTTTTATTCCATATTTTAAAAGACATTCTGAAATTTCCTAGAAGACACAGTATTTGCCTTTGATTTTATATGAAATTTATCTTTTACAGTTCTGGAATTTTATCAGGTACTGATCTTTCTTGGAATTTTTACATCTTCCCTCATTGATTTTGGGGCAGCTGGGCATCCAAGAGGCTACTCCTGGAATATTTGGGACATTTGTCCCCAAGTTGCCAGGGATACACTCAGTGGTGCTGGGGGGGAGGTGGGGATGAGGGGAACAGCTCTTTGAGCTATCTCCTTGACCCTCCCCGCTTACCAGGTTTTTTTGAGGGGCCACACCCAGCAGTGGTAAGGGTTATTTCTAGCTCTGCACTCAGGAATTATTCCTGGCAGTTCTCAGGGGACCAGATGGGATGCAGAGGATCGAACCCAGGTTGGCCAAGTGCAAGGCAAGCATCCTACCTGCTCTATCTCTCCAGCTCTCCCCTTCCCAATTTTTAAAAGATCCTATTTTGTATTCTTCAGTGAATATGGTTTCAAATTTAATAAAATATAGCCTGTTAAATAAATTAGCAACTTCATGATGAAATAAAAATGCAGCAACACAGGCAAATCCTATTGATGTGGATTCAAATTATTTCAACTATCTGGAGGACAATAATACAACAATATTATTTATTTATTTTGGTTTTTGGTTTTTGAGTCACATTTAACTATCACTCTGTGCTCAGAGATCACTCCTTGAGTGCTTGGGAGAACCATATGGAGCATCAATGATTGAACCCAGTTGGCCACCTGCAAAGTAAACACCCTATCCATTTTGTACTAATGAAATATTTTTTATCTTAAATATGACCAGATCCTTTATCTTAAATATGACCGTCTCTTTGTGGGATTCATCCTAAGGGGAAAATGCAACATGCAGGCATTACTTTTTAAATAACAGTAAAAAAGAAATTGTTTAAATAACAACAATAAGAAAAGTATATCATATGCTGGTTACTATGTAGTCATAAAAATTGCTTACAGATTTTTAATGACACAAGAAAATGTTCTAAATGTAAATAAGTAAAAACTACAAGAGTTTTGCACCTTACTATTCTGTTAGTAGGATAATGAAAAAATGTACCCGATTTGATTATATGATAGAATTATTCATTTTCCCCACCTTATAATTTTGATAATTAGATTACCTACATAGATATTTTGCTGATTTTCACCAACTGAAATTTGGTAACTTGTAAATATGAGGGTGTTTAAAACTATTTATTTATTGGACTGGAATGATAGTATAGTAGGTAGGGGGCATTTGTGGCTGACCTGGGTTCTTTCCCCGGCATCCCCCAATACCCTGGGCACTGCCAGGTGTAGCTCCCCTAAAACTGTTCTGGTTTGGGAGCCATACCCAGTAGTGCTCAGGAGCTACTCCTGGCTCTGTGCTCAGTGACTCTTGTGGTCCTCAGGAGATCATAGGTGGTGCTGGGGATTCAAATGGGAGCTGCACGTAAGGCAAAAAAGCCTTACCTCCTGTACAGTATCTCCAACCCAAAGATCTGCAGTCTGGAAAACAAAAAATCAAACTCTAATTAGAGGCTAGAGAGATAGTATAGCAGGTAAGGGTCTTATTTCACATGCAGAATTGGCAAGTATGGGTTCTCTATCTCAGTGCCCTACCAACTAGTGTGGGCAGGGAACAGCAGTGATTATACTACAGCTGATTAAAAGGAGTGATTTAGGAGCTGGAGAAATAACACAGAGGGTAGGGCATGTGCCTTAAAGCAGCTGACTGGGTTCAATCCTCAGCATCTGTATATAGTCCCTCCGAACACAGTGCCAGGAGTAAATCCTGCTCATCTCAGGGTATGGACCAGAAACCAAACACAAACTCTCTGATCTCTACTACTGGAAAAATACCTGGAATGTACTGAGCTGAAATGTAGAGAATACTCATTGCTAGTCATATGAAAAGAATATTAAATTCCTAACTAAAAATAAATGAATTATACTAGTAATAAAGTTGTTTCTGGGGTTGAGGAGTACATGCTTTACATGCAGTGGCTCTGGGTTTGAACTTTGGTGCTGCCTGGTCTTCTGAGCTCTTTACTAACAATGAGCACTGATCTAGGATAAAGCCCTGAGCATCTCTGGGTATGGCTAAAAACAAAAACAAAAAACCCCCATTATTTGTTTGAATAAATTATGCTTTTTGTTTTGAGGAAAAAAGAAACTCTTTGAAAGTGCTAAATACTAAGTTAGTGGATTTAAAATTTTTTTTTCTTTGCTTTTTGGGTCACACCCGGTGATGCTCAAGGGTTACTCTTTGCTCTGCACTCAAGAATTACTCCTGGCGGTGCTCAGGGGACCATATGGGATGCTGGGATTCGAAGCTGGGTCAGCCACATGCAAGGCAAACGCCCTACCTGCTGTGCTATCGCTCCAGCCCCTAAAATTATTTTTTAATATGAGAAAAATCTAATTTATTGTCATTTGCAATTACCATGTGAAGTACTTTTCCAAATGTTCTGGAGCAAAAGAAACCAGGATTTGGTGATAGGAATTTTAGTTAATGTTCTGTGTACTTCTTACATTTCTCAGGAAAGCCATAATTAGTTGTATTAGTAATAGATATTTTATTATTTTGATAATAGAAAATGGAAGGAGTTTATAACTTTTCAGACAATTGTTTAAAGGAGCTGGGTTGAAAAAATTCTGTATAAATAAAAGTAATATACAGACAGTTTACTTCTGAACATAAAGGAGAAAATTTTATTACATAAAAACAATGGATTAAAAAATGTAACAAAAATTTTCTGTGTGACCCAAAAACTAACTGCATCTTTTACTAATTTACAGAAAATAATCACATTATAGAATGCATTCATTCACTTGTAATTATTGTAGGTCATTACATTTGTAGTTTAGTACAATCAAAATTTAAGCGATATTTCTTTTGTAAATTTAATTCCACCAATGAAAAATTGCTCATTGAGTTTCTACTATATTGTTCTAGCACCTTTAATTACTTGTATATTCTTTTATTTTTTCTATTTGTTAAAATTCTAAGTCCAGTATACTTCCTCTTATTCCCAACAGAGATTACCTCTAGTTATTTTTTTTAAAGAAGGTAATATTTTCCTAAATTTATTTATCTTAAATCAGTTCTATTCATATAAAGTATTTAGTGGATGTCTCTTCCCCTTCCTCCACCCATCTACTCACTATCACATTGCAATTAAGTGTCTCTGATTTTTTCGTTAGTCTAGTTGTTAGAATGAATATTCATCCTAATTTTTAATGAGAGGTTATAAATGACTTCTTCCTAAACTATTATGTTTATTCTAGGTTAAATTTCTGTGCTACATCTTATTACAACATTTATGAAGAGGCATAAAAACAAAATAAGCATTTCTGAAGACATTTAACACCTAATATTACACAAACAATAATAAAGAATTGAGTACACAGTTAACGAAAAGTAAAACTACAAATATATTCACAGTCCTATAAGGAGTCACATAGTAAGAAATGTTCATATATATATTTATGTATGTGTGTACATATATCTCTCTGAAACAAAGTATTTGTAGCCAAGTTAAAAATTTCACCAAACATTTCTCCATTAAGTATTTTTTAAGACATGCTAACCATGTTAACCATTTTTCCAGCCAGTACTTGTTTGTTTTATCTTGAAATTTGAAAGCTAAGCAGCATGGTATTATAATATTTAATACCAACAATTAATTTTTAATAGAAACTAATTCTGTCTTAAGCGATAGTACTAAGATCAGAATAAAATTGTATTTTATATACATTCTTTTTGGGTATCTGTGAGTCATGAAAACTTTGCCACTATTGAAGTAAAGTCACTTTTGTTTTCCCTCCAAATTAACAGACTTAAAAGGGAGGTTCATTGATGTAAGTAAACTTGTGGTATCACAATACAATGAAAAAGTAAGGACATATGTTACATTTTAATAATAACTACCCTTTGTTAAGATAATGGCTTTAAAAATACTTTTCTTTGTACACATCTTGTATTCTAAACTACAGGTTTTTGGTATAATTGTCTTGCTACGTTTAATAATATGTAAACTAATTCAAATTATTTTAAAGTTAGAATTGTATATATGTATTTATACAGATAAACTTATCTTTGTTCGTATTTTAGTAGTCTAGCAAGTCCTTTTATTTTAGAAGGGACTCAAAGATAATTAGCATATAAAGTTTTACTTTAGTGTAGCTTAAACCACTGATGTTATATGAATATTTGAGTTTCTTTTCTTTAGCTGATTTTCCGTAAATATTAGGAGAGTCACCATAAATCAGTTTTGTCACACAGAGTGATTCCAAAATGATCATTACTGAGTTTTCTTGGATCCTTGTAACTGGAACTTTTGGGGTTGCTGAGGTTTGTCAGGAAGACAGAAAAGATGGTGCCACTTCAGATCTGATTTTTCTGCGTCTGGACTTAAAGATAATCTGTTGTTGATTCTTCCCCTTGTCCTCTCCAAATTCAGATCTCACTTCTTCAGAGGTTTAGAAGGCCCTATTTCACCACTGCCACACAGAAAAAAACAAAGCTCAAGAAAAATAGTATTACAAGATGACTGTTCTACAAGATAAAACAAATCTTAGGTTAGAATTTCATGGCTTTTGGCACTTAGGCCTGTATAATTACGAGAACAAAGAATGGGAACAAAGGTATAGTTCCTAGAACTTAAATTCATCTGATTTCTTTCCCAATGAAACTTATTAAACCCTTCAAATATAAGGTACTTATTATGAATTTAATTATTCAACTTTTGGGATACCTTTTCTTTTCCTTGAAGCTAGAATGGGTAGGCACATAAATATGTAACATAAATAATATAGGTCAGCTGGGTAGAGAAAAGAAGGAACATAGCAGTTAAATATTTTCCTTCAAATAAAACACTTGTACAGTATACTTCAACTTCTTAAAGTTAATGGCAAAAAGCTGAAACATCTAAAATTTTTTAAAACTTATGTTCTTGTATTGAGTGCCTTCAGCTATTAGGCTAACATTGTTGTCCTTACGTATTAACTGTTATATATTCTGCAAATGGAACTAAAGTACATTTACAGGCAGAGGAAGAAGTTCCCACTCGTATTTTTAAGTTCATAATTCTCTAACTTGCCCCAGTAAATTTTATTTTTTACAGCCAATCTTTGCCCTAGTAGTAATGCTTTTTCTTTTTTTTTTTAATGTCTTTTAAAATATTCCCCTTGTGGGAGAACACGTAAGAACTTATAAGTTTAATGATTTCAATGCTTAGAAATATATTTCTATCGTCTGAAAAATGAGCTCTGCTGATTCTGATTGACTGGCATGAACAACTGGTTTGAGTAAAAACAACACAGAACTTAAATACGGACTGTCTATTGACTCTGTAGTTTCTCAAATATATTTTACAAACTTTTAGTATTAATATTGTGGCCAGAGAGATAGTACAGTGGATAAGGCACTTGCTGTGCATGTGGCCAACATGGATTATATCCTTGGCACCCCATTATGGTCCTCTGAACCTCACCATGAGTGTTCCCTGAGCACCACTGGGTATGGCCCCCAAACAAAAACAAAAGCAAAACAAAACAAAAAATAAAGTATGAATATTCCTGACTCTGAAATGCAATCAAATTTACATTTTTCCTCCTCCTTTGGTACTGCACCCAGTGTCAGGGATGGCAGTGAGATACATTCCCAGCTCTTATACATTTTGTGTCCCTTTACTAACTACAAGTAATAATTACGTGCATCGATACATTCAATTTAGGGTCAAATATTAAAATATATTCTTCATGCCACTTTTGTCAGCAAAAAAGATCAGAGATCATAATGGTTTCCTGCCCCCTAGTGATGTGTGGAGGATTCAAGTTTGATAGAAAAGATGAACAAACCTACTAATAATGGATGAATCTCGGTGATTTGATATTTCTGAATGTGAGAGTACAACTCAGATAGGACTTAAACATTTTAATACTGAAGTCACTATTAAATTGGCTCAAAATACAAATACTTATATTTACCAATCACCATATGTACGTTCTAAAAGTTTGCATTTTTTTGCCTCTTGCAGCAAACAGATTTACAAGTAGCTAAATTACATCTGACTTTAATGAGACTTAAGTTACCTTGTTATTGTATACCACCCCTGAATTTTAGTAGAAGGCAATATAAGTGGATCACCTAGTTGACTACTGAAGACCATTACCCATTAAAACTTCACTATCCTTTTATTATTTAAAACAAACAAAAAAACATTTAACAGATGGTAGAGGGATTGTTAAAGCAGCAAATTTAACTTTACACATCCACTGTTCAACTTGTAAAGCCTTCATAATAGATTTTAGTACTATGATGAAGTCAGATTCTATTGAGGAGTGGATTATTTAACACAAACCATTAAATAACTTTAGTTTGTTGCTATGGGGCCAGGGAAATAGCTCAATGGGTTGAGTGCATAGGAAGCATGCTTTGCATACAGGAAACTAATTTCCAGCACAACATGGTTCCACAAGCACAGTGCCAGGGTAGTCCCGAAGCACTACTGAAAGTTTGCTGCTAGGTAAGTGTACAAATACAATTCTCCCTAAAATTACCTTTCATTTATTTTTTTTTTTTGAGTAAGACTCTCCTTATAAGTTTACATTAGAAATATATTTCTAAATGTAAATATATATGTATATATAATTAAAGTATAAATGGTTAGAATAACCAACCAGGGATGTTGTTTCGATTTTTAGTCAAAGAAATGAAGTTTTCTTTGTTTTTTTGGGCCATACCTGGCTATGCTCAGAGCTTACTTCTAGTTCTGCACTCAGGGATCACTCGTGGAGGGGTTCAGCAGACCAAATGTGGTGCTGGCAATCCTACCTGGGTCAGCTATGTGCAAGACAAGCACCTTACCCGTTGTGCTATCTCTCTGGCCCAAAGAAATTATGTTTCTTACCCACAACATCTGTTAAAGCAAAAAGAAAACTTGGGGCCCAAGAAATAACTCAAGGATTTGATCCTCGGTACCACATTGTCCCAGAGCATGACAGGGAGCAATACTCAGCACTGACAGGTGTGGCCCCCAAAACAGCAACAACAAATAAATGAAAGAAAGAAAATCCATTCTTCTGAGGTCCTCATTTTCCTTGGGAATATTATTAGTTTCACAGCAATAAAATTAAATGGTGATTGGTGGGAGATATTTAAACATAAAGGTCAGGAACACGTAAAAGAAAGGGCAATAGGATCAGAGAGCTCCTTCAATGGGCTGGAGTGCATCTATTTCATGCAGAAGACCTCAATTTAATCCCTCATACTGCATGGTCCGAGTGTTGAACCAGGAATGGTCCCTGAACACCACCAGGTATTGTCAAAAATAAAACAAGAACAACAAAAAAAGGAAGAACAACAACAACAAAAATGTCATGGAGATGAAAACTTGAAATTCAAATTAAGTTTTGGGGCAGGGTAGGGTTCAAAGGTGACATGCTTTACATGCAGGAGGCCCAGGTTCAATCCCCCACACCAGATGGTCCTTGGAGCACTTCCAGAAGTAACCCTCAAAGGAGTAACCCTCAAGTAACCAAGGTTTTTTTTCTGGGAGTAGCCCCTGAGCACCACCAGGTATGACCCCAAAATACCAGAAAAACCCACCCAAATTAATTTTTAATTGAGCATCTACTGTAGACTCCAAGTGGCTGACAAATACACTAAATGACAATACAAAAAATAGTAAAACATCAGTATTTAATATTCATTTCTAGGACAATCTGAATGATACATTTGAATGTTTTTTCCCAGCTCGTATAGTTTCACATTATTTAAATGTTTGTTGTACCTATTATTACTAGCCACCTTCCTAGGCATAATAAACAAGGAGCACAGTCTCTGCATATTTTCTTAGGTTGAAAAGATCCTTCTTTGTACTTCTTAGTAGGCAGAATATTTAACTTTGTGGCCAAATTCAGAAATATAGAAATCATATGTCTAGATTCAAATTCCAGCTCTAGTATTTAACTGTATGGTCTTGGAAAAATAGTCTCTCTGAACCTGTCCCTGTCGGGGTATCTCATACAAGTATGGAAATGTTTAAAATTATTTGTTGAAGCACATCAAAAATGTGAATGCCAACTAAATGGTTGCTGAAATTACTGACAGCCCTAGGGTTACAAAACAAATTCATGGGTTTTAAACTCTGAACTGCAGCTTCAAGTTCTTAACCCCAAATGTGACTTTACCTACCTAGCATTTTTCCTATTACCTCTGGCTTCTGGACCTCAGGTATCAAGTTGCTATTCCACAGCCTATATTCTCACAGAACTCTTTGGTACACTGGAATCCTAGCAGTTGTTGAAGCAGGATGCCTATAGAACTGGCATTTATCACTGAGAAACATTTGTTTAAAAAGGAGATGGAAGGAGAGTGGTGGGGGAAAAGATGAGGAACTGATCTAAGTAGATTACTTGCAAAAATAAAAAGAACTTTTAATTTTTCTTTCACTTGGTGCCAGGGATTGGTCTTATGACAAAACCCAGCTAAAATTAGTAAATAGCTGGAACCAAAGAGATAGTATGGCAGGTAAGCTTGCTTTGCATATACCCGACCCAGGTGTAATCCTTGGAACTCCATATGGTCACAAGTCCCACTAGGTGTGATCCCTGAGTGCAGAGCTAGGAGTAAACCCTGAGCACAGCCAGGTGTGGGCCAGAAAGGAAAAAGAAAAAAAGGGTGAACAAGTTACTTTCTTTTTGTATCAATTTAGCTTTTTAACAAGTTTTATATTTACTTCAAATAGTACAGTTGCTTTTCCTGGGTACTTTTTAGGTCTACTCCTTCAAGTGCTCTGAGACTATGCAATGCCAGGGATCTAAGTTGGCACTCCCATATGAAAGCATACACTTGAGTTCTTTGAGCTAACTCCCTATCCTAACTTTGTTATACTGGTTCTCTAAGGGATTTTTCTGAATTTATTTAATTAGAAATATAAAGGCACCAAGTTTTGAGAGTAAGTTGCTACCAATTTTGTGGTGCCAGGATTGAACTGAGGGTCTCACATATGGAAGGCAAGAGCTCCACTGCTGAACTATATCCTATGGTCTTGTCTGTTTTAGGATATAAGGTTTGTTGGGCTAAGGATATAGCTCACTGGTAGAGAACATACCTTGTATGTGTGACACTCTGGTTCTGATCCTTGGAGTTGTAAGCAAATAAAACTACAAAGGCTGGTGTTATTCTATGAAATTATTTCAATTTATTTTTTCTAGAAAATTGTGTTTTTAAAATTTTATAATTTTGTTCAACAACAGTGTGTAATTCATGCCTACCATTCTATTTTTATTGGTATCCAATGCCCTAGCAAACTAATTTTTATACTAGCCCTTCTGAAATGTTTTTTGTCGATTCTCAGAATATTACTTTATATATTAATCATTAGCCACATGCCCTCTTATTGTTAGTCATTTCTTTGAATATTTTTAAGTTTAAAAAAATGGAAGATTAAAAGGAATTCCTGAGTTCTAATCTACTGCCATCTGGGTTGTGCTTTATTAAGCAGATTCTAGTTCTCTTTACTAAAGAATATAAATAACTGAGTTGCACCATAATTGGTAGCAAGCTTGTTAGGTACTGAATCCATTCACCCAAGATTTCCTGCTGGAATGAAAGGTGGTCTTGTGAGACTGTGGAGGCAGAAAGAGGAGCAAGATTCCACATAGATTGAGGTTCTTCTGTAACTTTAGATTTGGATCCTAAACACAAATTCTAATGGCAGGAAGAGTAGGCAGTTTCCATAACCTCGATTCATTGTCTTCATAGCACTGGACAGGGCAAGGGAGTTACAGTTCCACCCCGAGAGGAAGAATGAGAGGAACTGGAATGGAGAGGTATAGGATGTTTTTTAATTTCCCTTCTTTTATAAGGCAAGTAACTTTTAAATGAATTAAGAAAAAAGTTTTATGTCCTACTTAAACAAGTCTGTGCTAGTTCCAAAAAAAAAAAAAAGGTGTATTCTGTGTAACATGAGACTAAGAGAAAACATCGAGGTATAGCTTTGTGAATCTCTACACAATTATGTAAAGCTGCTTATGTATTTGCTGTTAGCATGTGTAAAGTCACTAGATAACCATTTCCCAATAGAACAGATCATCCTCTCTACACTGTGATAGTACTTTGAAAGATTCCTGCTCCTTAGTGGTGGGAAGCAATTCAACAGATTCTGGTTAAGGGTCATAGGAAAAAAGTGATCTCAAAGAAAATTGCTAAGACACCATATAGTTTGGTGATTTAGTCTGAGCTTATCTTTCCTCTTTATACTACTCTTTTATCAGTTGTTACCATGTTCTTAATATGAACCACATTTCAAGATTAATTACTGTATAATTACTTGATAAATCACTGTATCTAAGACAATCTTTTTTCCTGTTGTCTTAAAAAAATTCAAATTTATTGTTTTGTGTATTTCCTCATCCCCATTACTTATTTAGCTCTTGTACTATCCCTATTCTTACCTCAATGTGGTCCCATAAATCTCTGAGCTCACACTGTGTTCTTAATACTTTTTGTTCAACTAAATCTGTGCAAGTCAACATATCTCTCAATTCACTTGGCAATTTAAATGCAAATCATATACAAAAATATGACTGCATATCTTAAAAATCTGATTAACAAAACTGTAGTGCAATTAAATTACTGTTCATAATGACAAAATTATACTTTAAAATATGGAGTAATTTAACATCCTTTTCCATTATAAGATAGGAATTACTTTGTCACTAATTCACATTTAAGGTATTCTAGTCAATAGATGTTTACTGGTGGGTCAATTTGCCAGTGTTTTAAATTCACATGTAATTCATGTAGACCTTTGTCAGCTACAACTAACTGGTAATACTACCTTAACTAAAAAATGATAAATTATTCATTTCCATTTATATGCTCTGATTTTACAGTTCTCAAATTTCATAATCCTTTAGAGAAAAATAAAAGCTTGATGAAAAACTGCAATTTGCCACAAACACATTTTCTCCAAGTCTTAGATAGTATAAAACACAAGACCATTTTTTTGCACACTCCACTTTTATAGAACAACCAGATTTGTAATTGATTTCTTTATTTTATTAGATTTATCAATATACATGGCAGCTTTCTCAAATCTCAAAATAAGTTCCAAAAGTATGTAATTTTAAAGGTGAAAAATCATTTCTTTAGATACCATATTCCTAGGAAGCTATTAGTCTATTTATAAACAAAATAACTGATAAACTAACACACTTTAGAAATCAGAATATTTTAAATTATTTTAAATGAATACAAGATAGGTCTCTTTAATTAACTATCATAGTTAAATTTAACATCACAAAGCAAAATGACTTATCCCCACTAATATCTCAAGTGGGGTAAAGTCATTGGGTTTTACACTTAATATAAGTTTTAAATGTATTAAATGATAATATTTTATCAATTATAGGAAATATTCATTTATAGGAATTTCCTTAGGTCCATCAATCCTTTTAGGCCAAGTTTGAGCCCGTGTCAATCTTCAGTGCACCTAACCTGCCTAATAAGCTTTTCAATTTAAGAATATGAATTTCACTGATAAGGGAAAAAAGTGAATAAATTACTGTCCAACTTATAAAAAATATATGAAAGCTAAAAATGAGGACAGTTTTAAGTAGTTAAGTGTTTAAAAAATTTAAACAGGAGTAGCCAATAATACTGGGTTTAAAAATTTCACAGAAAAACCTTAAAAAAACATAGAAAAAGTGAAATCATCACCTTATTGATAAAAAAACCCTAAAGTTTAATAGTCATTGAAGGGGTAACAACCACTTGCAGTCTACATTTAAAAGTAACTTTATCATAACTAAAACAAACTAAAACAAAGAATTCTATTAATAACAAAAATGATAAACACTTTATAACACCTAAGATGTAGATACTTAAGATCCTAAACAAAAATATTAATGGTAAAAGGGCTTTGAAAAATTTTCCAACAATTCATCTTATAAAATCGATTTCTAAATAGCTCATATCCTTTGCTTTGGTGTTTTATCTGCTATCAACTAAACATTAGTACAGTAGAAAATCATTTAGGTTCTTTTCAAATGCTTGGCATTATAATGTGATCTCATATCTTTCCTCAAATTAAATTTTGCTCCACATATTCCACATGTATACAGATGAACATCCATGTGCTGTTCCAACTGTTCATTATTTGGGAATATCTGAAAGCAGACCTGGCATATTGTTTCACCAGCAGATAAATGAGAAATCATATGCCGTACATGGTCATGTTTTCTGAAGTTTCCTTGATCACAAATGGAACAGACATACCTGGCCATGCCTTTGTGCATATCATTGTGTAGTCGCAACTGGCGTTCTCTTAAAAACTGCTTTCCACATGTCTGACAAACAAACTGTTTCTCCTTAGTATGAACAGTATAATGTTCTCTTAAGTGACATCGCTGATAAAATCCTTTTCCACACAGATTACAAAAATGCTTTCGTCTGTGATCTCTCTCATTGTCTTCTATAATGGCACTTTTAAACATATCTTGTTCTAGGCAAGTAGACATATGTTCAACCACTAGATTTTCAGTTTCAAAACGCTGGCCACAATTGGGACATCGAAAAGGACAGGCAGAATGTTTAAATAACTGCTTCTTTTGCATACTGTTTATCTGGAAATGATTGTCCCGAAAATCATCCAACATATCTACAAACATATCTCTTATTTCAGACTGTTCATCAGGATTCTCTTCCATATCCATTTTCTCCTCAGTATTTCCTAGCCCATTCATTGTCAGGTCTTGGGGCTCTCCACATCTTTGAGCATGTTCCTGAAGCTGTCTCCCCTTAACAAGTATTTGTCCACATTTACCACATGCACAGATATTTTCAATGTGTTTTGCTAAATAATGAGAAGAGAGGTCCTCTTCAGTTATTGTGAGTCCACACAACTCACAAGATGCATTTTCTGTATCCTCTTGTACTGGACTGCTGGTAGGTGGCCTCAGATTGTCTAAACCACCTCTTTCCTCAGCACTTATTGACATCCGAGGTTTTAGAGTTTTCCTACCACTTTTTTTAATACTGACATCTTCTTCAACATAGTATCTATAAAATGGCTCTTCAGGTTCATCTTCTAGTTCATCATTATCAGTGGATTCATTACAGTCCTTGTCAGTAACTTTGATAATGTTAAAGTCTTTCAGTTCATCTGTAGGAATATCTTCTGGCTCCATCTTGATAATGATTCTTTTTCTCTCAGCAGCTCTGCTTTTTTCTTCATTGGCTAGATCAGATTCCACTGTGCTTTTTCTGCTTCCGGTAGTGGAAGTTGAATCATCAGCAGCCTGGCTTAAGTCCCCTCTGTATTTGTCTGTCTGTGCAGAAAATGTTTTAGAAGAATCTTTTTCACCAAATTCAGCTTTGATATTGCTTTCTTTTCCATCTCTAATATCAACTAGTCTGTGATAGGATCTTGCATTTTGGTATGAATGTCTATTAGTACATGTTAGAACATGCTCATCTAATAATTTTTCACAGCTAAAGCCAAAACCACAACTATCACAGGTAAAACTCCGTCCAAAGCGTCGTGATACACGTTCTTTTGGAGTAGATAATTTAGACACAGAACTTTTTTTACATACATCAAAGAGTGGCTCAGGAAAATTACTTAATTGTAAAGATTCTTCATCAGGCTCTCTATTGTGTGGTGTATTTACGGTTGAACTTGGCTCTGCACTCCACCTGTTGGCTTCACTGCCGTTTTTAGCCCCAGTATCTTCATACATTCTTACTCCAAATATCATTTTGCTGTTCTGTTTGCTAGAAGCAGAAGATGAGCATTTTGAACTAGAACAATCTGCATCCTGGATGTCTTCTAAGCAGTCAGGAACATTGTAAAGCTGCAGGTAGTTCATTGCCACTTTAAACTGCTCAAAACTGGATGGAGCTGTCATAATTTTCCCCAAATACATAAATTGCAAAATGAGATCAAAACACTCAGCACTAATTTTCATGTTGCTGAGATTTAGTTGTGCAGTACTTTGTTGGTGATTCATGAAAAACATTCTAAAATAGGAGCTACAAGCAGCCAGAACTGCTTTGTGTGCTTGGAAGTAAATGTCATCAATTGCAATGCAACAGTCACAGAGAAAGCCCCACTCCCTTTGGTTGTTTAGCTGCTGAAGGACGTAGCTGCTGTGGCTGGGCTTTGCCATCTTCTATTAGAGACCTATATAAAATAGAAATATTATGTCAGGTATCAGAAAAGCACTTGAAAAACATTAATTTTGATCATGACTTGACAAATGTGACTTTGCTACTACAATCAAGGTATGAATAACTTTCCATTCTAATCCAGCAAATGTCAATAATATATGCCTGAATCATTTTTAACTTGAAGATAAGAAATAATTTATTAAAGCTTCTCTCTCATATGTTCTTTAAAAATATAAGCAAAGGTGACAAAACCCAAACATTTTGGTTTCATTACAACTCTGGGGGAGTGAGAGAGTATGCACTAAATTTGAAAGAAAAAATGTTACTACTTTAAAAATAATCTGAAGGACAGCTCAGTGTGTTGAAGTGCATACTTTTCATGCTACAGTTCTGAGTTCAATCTCTATATGATCCTTGGAGTCCACCAGGAGTGATCCCTGAGCATAGAGTCAGCAGTAAGCCCTGAGCACACACCAAATCAAACCAAAGCATCCTTGCTAGATTAGGGCTCAGGAGATATATAGTGGGTAAGCCTTGCACACAGTGGGCCTGGTTCAATCCCTGGTATCTTATATCCATATGATCCTCCAAACACTGCCAGGAATGATCCCTGAGAAATGTTGAGTGTGGCACCAAAACAACAAAAAATTAACCCTTGTTAGATTATATGAAAACGGGACCAAATAGGTTTGATTAATAATTGTATCTTTTCTTGATTATTGGAGAAATAATGAATCTATAGAGCCAAGATTGTTCTGTATTACTTTAGGATATAAACAAATAGTGGATCTGTTTATAAAGGAAGTATCCTTAGATTGTAATTTTTTTCCTTTTTTTCTCCCCGTTTTGGTGTCTAAGCCACACTTGTTGTGCTCGGGGGTTACTCCTGGTTCTGCACTCACAAATCACTTCTGTTGGGCTTGGGGAACTAGACAGGATGCTGAAGATTGAAGGTATGTTGACCGCATGCAAGGCCTTACCCATTGTATTACCACTCGCACCCCCTTTTCTTAAATTTTTTTAATTGCTAAAGAATTACAAAAAGGGTAACATTTATGACCAAAACCTCAAATACACAAGTATATAAAATGAAAATACACTTCAGGTTGCACATCTTTACTTAATAACCTCACCAAACACAGTTTTATATTTGCAGATTTGTTTATGTATCAACATCCAGTCAACAGGTATTGAATATTTACTATGTGTCAGGCACACAGTTTTGCCTGTTTCTTTTTCTTTAAACCCCAAAAAGCTTCTCTCCACCAATGTTCCCTCCCATCCCTTCTACCACTACCCCTGCAAACTTATATACCTTTCTGAAACAAGTTTTTGTTATTTAACAACATATGGTAGATGGGGGTGTGGAGTGGACAACACTGGGAAGTTAACACTCTGGTGGAGGGTGTAGTGCTGGAATTTTTGTGTATAAAACCATAGCAATAACAGTACTATAAAACACATTGCTTCTTAGAATAAAATGTGAAAAGACACACACACACAGACACAAAAGAGTACTAAGAAAAGACTCAGCAACATATGGTAGAATGCTGTATTGTTTTAATTTTTAGACACTTTAAATGTAGGGAGTTTAATGTAGGAATTTTGAGTAAAGAAAGGAAAATATTAAAACACTAGAAGTCCCAAGCATTTCATTACAAACCTAAACAAGCTGTTCTTTTTTTAAATTTATACATTCAACTTCAGAATCTTTTTTTGTTTGTTTGTTTTGGGCCACATTGGGTTCTATGCTCAACAGTCATTCCTGGAGGTGCTTGGGATAAAATCTGGGCTTCCTGCATGCAAAGCAGGCACTCAGCCTGTTGAGCAATCTTGCTGGCCCACAGAATCATTTTTAAAAATACATTTATTATTTTTTAAATTAAGGTACACACTATGCTTTACAAAGTTATTCATAGTTGAGTTCAGGTAAACCATGTTTCAACACCAATCAGTATTCAAGACATCCATGTTAACGTCTCTCCACCAATGTTCTCTCCCATGTCTCCTACCTCTACCCCTGCAAAAATCATTTTTTAAAGATAAGTTTTTACACAGTTTGAATATTTTTTTAAATGAATTTTCACTCTTTAAAATTCTTTAGTCCCTGCAGCTATAATTAGGGTAAATGTAATTACTTTCACTTTTTATCTATTACTGATCACATGTGGCACACATAGTCCCTTAAGACATATTCTGCCTCCTCCTTTCTGCTCTTCCTATCTTTCCCATCTAAAGACAAGAGTTGCATAGCCCAGGGATGTAGGTCCAGTGAAATGAAGGTGGCTCTTAATAAGACCTCCTGCCATTTTTTGGTTTTGTTTTGTTTTTTGGACATACCTGGCTGTGTTCAGGGCTTACCCATGGTTCTGGGTGCACCCAGAGATCATTTCTGGTGGGGCTCAGGCAACCATATGTGGTCCCGGAATCAAACCTGAGTAGGCTGCATGCCAAGGCCAAGCACATTACCCAATACTCTCTGGCTCACCTTTCTGCCTTCTTGAAATTAGGCTTTTCTGTAAAACAAATCTAGTATTTCAAATAGATATAATATTTTTAACCTGTTACTCACTCATATTATCTATCAAAACTACAAGGAATTATGTTCAGCATATACCCGAATATGAAAAGTAATGTTTGCACAAGTATATTCATCAAAGTATTGTTTATAATTTGAAATGCCTAGCAATAAATGAGTAGAAGTTTATCTAATTCTTAAAATTCATTGTTATGTGACCTAAAAATTATATTATGGTGCCAGGAAAAGAGGTAAAGTTCATGCCTTGTCCATGGGTTCAATTTCAGCCATACAAAGGGGAGGACAATAACTGCCTTGTGTGGAAGCAGGGATGAGGGGTTGTTGAGGACACTGTAGCAGTGATAAAAACACAGGATCGTAGACCATTCCAATTTAACTTTGCCACCACTAGTAACTTATTTATCCTCTTCATTGACCCCATTTCCTGAACTACCAGAGTGGGAATAATAACACCTCAGGAAACATAACAAAAATGAGTATTCCTAGAAGCAAAGTGTAAAACGTGGTGTTTGGCATGTGATAATTAAGTAACAGCGGCAATTGTTGTTGTGATGCTTATTTTAAGCATCAAGGGTTCTGGGCTAAGAGGTTCATGCTTTGCATGTGCAAGGATCTGAGTCCAATGCTTGGCACTGCATAGTTCTCCCATTCCTCTTGAGCACAGCACTGCCAGGTTCCACCTTTAATCCTCTGAACTCTCTGAGCATTGCTTGAGGAGCTGCTCCCTAACAAAAGCATTGAGAATTCTGTTTGACTAGAAAACCTTAAAGTTTCCTTCCAAATAGAAGGCCAGTAGTAAATCCACAAAAACTTAACAGGTTTTAAGTATTCCTTACTTATATATTGACATAAAAAATTTTAAAGTTCTAAGAATTCTTCTAATCTACATAAAAAGCAATTTTATGGTCAGCAACCAAAATCAGTGCAACTACAAAGAAGCCCAAATGATAGGTGCACCTATGGCTTGGTCACAATTCAGTTGAACAGGCATATACATAAATTCTGTGTTAACATAAAACACTATAAATGAAAAGGATAACTATAGTATTTTAACATATATGTGTTAATTCAGCAAATAATGGGTGCTTTATACTAGATACTAAATAAGTACTGAGAATAATCTGCTCAGAGAATCTGTTGTTAAGAATGCATTACTGCAAGGCTGGGGTGATAGCACAGTGGGTAGGGCATTTGCCTTGCATGCAGCCCACCCGGGTTCGATTCCCAGCATCCCATATGATCCCCCAAGCACCACCAGGAGTAATTCCTGAGTGCAGAGTCAGGAATAATCCCTGAGCATTGCCAGTTGTGACCCAAAAAGAAAAAAAAAGAAAAAAAGAATGCATTACTGGGAATGATGACTTTTCCTAAATTGGTGAATTTAGTTTACATATATTAAGTATGTACCGACTCTGGAAAAAGGCAGCATGCTGTAGTGAAGCGAACAAGGGCTCAGAGTCAGACTGGCTATGGATTCCACTACCTCCATTATTTCTTCTTATCTTTTCCCTCTCAGGGCTGGAAGTTGAACAAGCACTATGTCTAAAAAAATAAAAGTACAAGCGTCTAGGTGGACTTAGAATTATAATCTCATCAGTGTCACTACATAAATGTTCATGTTTTGAGTAAAACTTATTTTTGTTTTGTTTTGTTTTTGACCACACCTGAGCCAGGGCCCTGCACTCAGGAATCTGCCTGGTGAGCTCTTTACCTGCTGTACTTTTTCATTCCTATGTCTCCACTCTACACAGTAACTTTTAACAATTATTGGCACACCAGCAACTTTATTTCATATTTAAGTTCCAAAGATTGTTCTCTTTGCAAATTTTTGTTACCAAAAAAATTTCAGAACTGCTGTTATACCATTTGGTTTTAAAAAATGTTTAAAAAACAAGCTTCTATATAAGCTTGTGAGCTCCTATATATGAGCTCTATGACTGTGTTACTAGTTGTATCAATGGCAGAACAAGTTTATTACAACTAGAAAGGCTGGTACTAAGAGCTGAAACTTTAATTATAATCCAAAGCCACATGTTCCTGGAGAGATACTGTGAATGTAGTTTTCTAGGAAGAAATAGAAATCATTAGGTAATGACAAAAAAATTTATTTGAAATGTTTTCCAGCTTAGTTCAAATTTTAAAATAGCCATCAAGAACATTATGCATATTAAGTAACTTATTTGAGAACTTAGAAATTTTCATCTATCCCAGGATTCTTATCTCATAAGAGAGCAAAGATCTAAGGCAAGAGGTAGAGTTAACTGTGCTAAAGTAGGTATTAGAGGCACACAATAAGAACTCCTGACTTGCCAGTTGGGCATTAACAACTTGATAGTACTAACCACTAGGCACGGCACCCTTGTGCAAAGGATACTCCACAAGACACTAGAGATGTGGCTGAAGTGTTAGAGCACATTACGTGCACATGTAAGGCTATGAGTTCCATCCCTTGGCACTGCATGGCCCTCTGAGCA